GCATTTTCTCCCCTGCCTTTTTTTTGCTTGATAGATTTTTGATTTCAATACACATGTACCACGACAGCAAATCCTCTCACACACAACTATATATATATATATATATATGCATATATGTTTCAAAGGGAAGTTGTGGAATGCGCCTCTTTACGTCGCGGAAGGTGCACACACAGGAAGAGAAAAGCTGAGCTCGTAAAGCCTCTGTGACGCATCCGTGGACTTCACTCTTTCAACTCTCTTCTCTCATTTCGCCCTGTTTTTATTTGTATTGTTCTTGTTCTTGTTCTTGTCTTTAAAAAAGGAACTCTTTTGTGGGGATCATTTAGCCTGGAGAGGCCACCCTTGCTTTGCTGCTAAACGCGAGTAGGCCAGCGGCAGCACCGACAGAAAAACAGCAAAGGCGCGTGCTGCGTCCCTGCCACTGAGAGTAGTAACACCATCACTGAGAAAGAGCACGAGGCCCGTTGGCAAGGAAATCTAGACAGCCCTCGCTGATCGAGGTGCACATATCGCCCGTATCGAAAGAAAAAGAGTAGTATTCAACACCTGCTTGTAGGAATAGAGATAGTAGTTCTTCCCACCGAGTAGAAAAGATAAGTCTTCGCATTTCTCAACTGCAGCGAGCTGGGCAGAAACAGCAACAGCGAAAATGCAAGCTCGCCGCAATAGTATGATGCGTCGAGTGGCGCGTCGCTACGCCCGCGTGCCGGGCCAGCACGGTGATGCGGCGCCGCCAGCCTTCTTCCCGGTCGCCATCAACCCCGGGTGGTGGGGACAGCCGTTTGCAAAGGTCAAGGACGCAAAGTACCACCTCATATTCGCGTACGTCTTTTGCTTCCCAATAGTGTTCTACTGGACCTTTGATGTGACCCTGGGGCAGCGCACCCGCATTGCGCAGGTGGGCAAGCGTGCTATGGCGTCTAACTTCCTCTTTAGGCAGCTTGACCTCGACGACCCCGACCACGCGATCAAGTACGAGCACCTGCAGCAGGAGGTCGCAGAGAACAAGTTGGATGTACGCTGGGGCGGCACGAACTTCCTCGCCAGCTACCTCTGGGAGCCGGGAGATCCGGAGCCGGATATTCGCCGCAAGGAGGCTCCGGCGCACCATCACTAATCGGCCAAGAAAGGATAGAAAAACAGAAGTCCGCTTTCTTTTTCCTTTTCTTGTCCGATTAATTTTTTTCTTTACTCTTTATTTGTTGATGTAGCGTTGGCATTGCCGTGATGTGCGTTGGCCGTTGCGTGTGTTGATGCCTGTGAGCGGACCGAAGGTGTGCAGGTGTTCACTGCTTTTCTTCTGTTGTTGTTGCTGTGTTTTCTTCCGTGGTTTTTTTTTTATTTCTCCTTCTTCGTTTTTCCTGTAGTAGGTAGATTTACCGTTATGCTTTACCTTTCATTCAAGGCAATTCAAACGAACAAGAAGAGGCGCAGCTTTCTCTGTATGTGGTGCGACGTACTGACTCGCTCCTCTCCACACCGGTGTTATCCCGCAGCCAGAAGTCGCGCTTCGTTGCGCAACACGGCGCTGGAAAGCGGCTGCCAAGGAGCAACGTTCGCGTAACCCGTTGGACGAGATGCAGACGGAAGGGGGAAAAAAATCTGACACTTCAAAATACAAATGAAAAGTAGCACTTTTTGTGCCGCTCTTTCTTTACGGAAGCGAATGTTCTCTGTTCGTTTGCATCGGTTTTTTTTTTTAAATTGATCTTCTCGTGGGGTTTGAAACTTATCCGCTTTCTTCCTTTCAATAAACAGCTTTCTGCACGCAACGCCTCAACACACAAACACATCAAGCGACTCCGCATTTACCGCTCGCAACGTGGGAGAACACACAGCGGGGCGGTTGTCTTCCGAATTCCTTCTCGTGCTTCCACAACCGTAAACACTCGATTGTCTTCGTGAGGCGATAGCAGCTGATCTCAGAGCTCGTTCGGTTTATTTCGACCTCTTGCAATTTTTTCCTGCAATGACTCTCGTTGACTGTGCGGAGGGGCTGCTGGTGCGCCTTACGCTTCTTTCGTGGTGCGTCGCACTCGTTGTGCTAGTGATCCGCGTTGTCTCACCGGATTTCAACAAGTTGTCGGCTTACGGTGGACATGGCGTAGTCCTGCCGCGCGGCGCAGGCGCCGGTGGCGATGGCGACAAGCAGAAGAAGAGCAGCGGCGCAAAGACGTGGTGGTCGTGTGTCATGGCGGCTTTAAAGACGTCGCCCACAGGGACGTGGAGGATCCCCCGCAAGCACGCCTTCATGTTCTTTTACGCAACAGGTGTTGCGACGTGCACACTACTGCTTCTTGCTCACCTCTCCGCTCTCAGACGCGTTGCGGCTCACACGCCCTTCTACCCAGCCTGCCTGACGGCGGTGCCGTTGCTGCTCTTTACGCTCCACTGTGGCATACGTCTCGTAGAGACCTGCTGCGTACAGCGCTTTCGCCCAGGCGACACGGTCACTCTCTTCGCTGTTTTCGCAGGGAGCGCGTTTTACGTGCTGGCTGCTGTTTCGAGTGCTGTCCCTCCCGCGGCAATCATGCCGAAGCTTCCGTCGCGATGGATGCTGCATTCTGCCAGCATACCGTGGATCGTTTTGGCGGGGGCTGCGGCGCATGTGACGGTGCAGGCGGTGCAGGTGATGGTGCACACGACTCTTGCAGGGCTACGCCGGTACAGCAAGGCACCGACAGCCAAACAGCAAACGGAGGCACAAGACTTCGAGGAGTCCGTCTGGCGGTATGTGAGAGCCGGCCTCTTAAACCGCGCGAAGTCGGAAGGAAAGTCGGACAGCCGTGACGTCGACGAGCAGTACGCGCTACGTGGTTCGTGGCGTACGTACCACTTTCCTTATCGGCACAGCCCGGCCTTTCGACTCGTTCTCGATCCTCATTACACCTGTGAAGTCTTCCTGTACGCTGTGAACGTGGCGCTGATGGTCCTCTGCGCCGCGCCGCATCCCTCGCACTCGGTAGACGTTGTCGCAACGCAACACACACTCTGGCGTTACGGCTGTGCTCCCCTGGCTTGGCTTTTTGTCGCCGCGAGTGTAGGTGTGACGCTGTTCACGCTCCTGAACCTTGGCATCACCTCCGCCGAGCACCGTCGCTTTTGGAATGCGAGCAACGCCACCCGTCGAGAGGTGGCCAAAGTGCTCGAGAGTCTTCTGTGTGCTTCTTCAGTGGTGGAGAAGTCGAAGCGGCTGCCTGCGGAGCTTGTCGACGAGGTCTCACGGATGCTGCGAGAGGACCTCTCTGAGGAGCAGCTACCACGCTGGAATGTTATTCCTTTTGTCCAATAGGCAATTGAACGTTTTTTTTCTTTCTCTCTCAGTTTAACTTCGTGACAGAGTATCGGCACACGGCCTCACTGCGTGCATATATATATATACACTGATGCTTTCACGTTAACGATAGCTTTTTTTCTTACCCTCTCTCTCTTCTCCCGTGTGTTGCTACTGCTGCATACGCTGAAGCACACACACACACACACGCACACTCGAAATATCTACCAGAGAAGCTCGTACCCTTCTCGCGCGTTGTCCTGTGCGGTAGCGCTTACAACACAGTTCGCGCAGTTGTGTGCGTGGAGAGCCGCCGGTGATGCAAAGCCAAAGCCACACCCTTCCCGCCACCACCACCAACAAAAAACAAGCATCGTAATGGATAGCTGTGAAAAAGAGACGACTGAATAGCATCAAAGCGTTTGCCGGTGCGCTCTTGCCCGCTGATGCTCCTCCGGCTTCAAGCGGCATCGACTTCCTCTTACCCACGGTTTTCTTTTCTTACTGTTTTCATCTAATAATAGTACATATATGCAAACACCGACCACGGCATCTGTGTAGCCCGAACACTCGAACCTTGTAGGCAGGAGAAGGGTTGCGCAGCGGCCAGACAGGCAAACACACGTAACCTGCTTGTAAGGGAAAGTCCCCTTGAAATGCACTGAGCGTCGTGGCTTCTTCTTCTTTATTCTTATTATTATCTTTTAATAGTTCCCTGCACAATGCCGCCGGCCGGGTCTGGGTACACCTTTGCGGACTTTCTGCAGCGGCTGGAGCGGAGCCCCATTGCCCACATGTCCCCGCTTTATCACGAGCACCGACTCCTCTTCGTAAATCGACCCGACATGCTTTCGAGAGCGGTGCTCTCCATTTCGTGGGAGCGTGGAGTTGCGCTGATGGACGCCGCGTACTACACGCAGCCGGTGGCGGTCGAGACGTACCGCGCGCTGCTGGCACGGATGCTGCGCCACAACCGCCACGTCGAAAAGAGCGGGGCGGGGAAGCTCGTGAGCTGGCAAGCCGCGATGAAGGTGATGAACGAAGCGGTCCTCACACACGGCACGTCGCTGCCGACGCGTGTGACCGTCTCCACCCTCCGCCTGCTCGCCCCACATCGTCAGTGGAAGACCGCCATCGATCTACTGAAGCTAAGCCAAGCGAATGGGCAGCTGACGAAGCCGATGCTGCTCGATGCGGCACACGCCTGTGCCACTTCCACCGCGTGGCCGGAAGCCCTGAAGCTGCTGATGCACCTACACAAGCAGGAGCCACCGCTGCTGCGCGACGCCATTCAAAGCATGCGTCCACCTGGCTCCACCGCCTTCACCTCCTTCACGGCAGCTCAGGCGCTTCTCCCCCCTACGCAGGACAGCCCCGCCGGTCCAACACCGGCGCAGCAACACATTTTGGAGGTGCTGAACAGCGTCGTGGGAAGCGTACCGCACCAGGTGGCGCTGCACGACCCGCTCTGTTCTTCCTACCTGACGCACCTGCTGGCGAGCACGACGCTCAGCGCGGAGTTAAAAGTGAAGCGCGCCACATCCGCCTTGGCGCGGCTCCCGTGGACGGTGGCGCTGCAGCTTCTGAGCGACGTCAGCGAGCCGGTGTTGCTGACGGACGCGGAGTGGCAGAGGGTGCAGGAGACTGCTTTGCTCGCCGGCCAAGGCAACCGTCGCCTTGCGAAAGCTGCTAGGAGCGGTAAGCGAAGAAAAGGGAAAGGACTGAAGGAAAAGAATACGAATTGTGCAGACTCCGTGACGAGAGAGGATGTAGACGAAGCAGATGCTGCTGTGCGGGGTGCGGCAGAAGGTGACACCGCGCGTGGTGGAAGACGAAGTGAAGCGGTCTCGGACGACACCGCCTCCGCGTCGGCCACCACGGCCATCACGCCTGCAACGACCGCTCTGTTTTCTCGCCTGCAGCTGCTTCGCACATCGCCGCTAACGTGCGCCGCCATGATCGCAGTGATGATCGACAAACTGCCGACGCCTGAGATGGCGGTGTCTTTCATTCGCTGCTGCGCCGCGCAGCTTGCCCAATCGAGCACCGCGCCATCGCCTGCTTCGCCGCTGCACCTCAACGCAGACGTTGGCCCAGCAGGAGAGGCCGCAGCTCTCCCGAGTGCTAGTGCTGCCGGATCGGTGGCGGCCACGCGGCATCCAGTCGTGGTATGCGCGCTGCTCCGCAACTGCGCGCGGCACGACACAGGGTGGTCCATTGCTGCCAATGTGCTGCTCGAGCACAGCGGCGCACAGGTGCCCACGCCGACGGAATTGCTGAGTACCATAGTGCATCAGCTGCGACAGGCAAAGAAAGTTTCGCTCGTCGTGCGACTGCTGCACCAGCACGTCATCCCCTCTGGCAGTTTGTTGACGGCGCGTGCATGGGAAGATGTGCTGGAGTGCGCGCTGGCACACAACCGCGTACTGCAGTTGCGGTCGGCGGAGGGGAACGCGAAGACGGACGGTAGCGACGAGCACGTGCTGCGCTACAGCGGAAATAGCGTCACTCGTCGACAGCCGCACCGTGGCTCCGCGCTGAGCGCATCCGGGTTGTCTGGTGTGCACTGGGTGTCGGCGCTGAGTTGGGTGTTGGACCGCCAGGCGCCTCCGCATGAGGCGCGCATTGTGAAGACCGGCACGGGTCCCTCGCCTGGCGCCATACCGCGGCACCCGACGGCGCACGAACGTCTGGAGCAGCCCCTCACCCCCAAGATGTTGAGCCTGCTCATCAACATATGCGTGCAGGGGGGAAGCCCGCAGGGCGCGCTGCACGCGATGAGCTACGCACGCCGAGTGGACAAAATGGAGCTTCCCCACACGGCGCAGATACGCGCGCTGCTGTTCTGCGTGCAGCACAACCGCCCTTTGGAGGCGGAGGCCATTGTGGCGCAGTTGGCAAAGAAGGAGGGCGAGGAAGCGGCACAGCCTCTTCAGCATCTGTTGAGGATCGTAGGCGAGCGCCAGCAGGGCAACGAGTCGTCGTGAGGGTCGAACAACTTCTTCACAGAAAATAAAGAACACGTTTTTTTGCTGTTTTTCTCTCTTTTTAACTATTCTTTGTCGTGAGTCATTTATGGTATGGATGACGCGCTGGCGCAGAGGAAATCAACAAGACAACGAAGAACAATGGAAAACACCCCCCAAAAACCCGCTTTCACGTGTCTGCAGCTTCCCTGCTGAAGTATTGCGATGCGTGGCCTTGCTTCTTCCTCGCGTAGTAATGACAGTAGTGTACTTGAGAACGTCTTTGTTTTAAAGAGCAACATATTCACTTGCGATTGAAAGCAACTGAACTTGGGTACCGAAACGCGGTCCCATTTGGGCTTTGGCGAACAATGAAAGTAATATGGAAAGCACATTTCTTGCCATGAACTCTATGCGCCTCTCACCTCTCTGTCTTCTCTCTTTCTTCCTCTCGTGGTGTGTGTGTGTGTGGCAACTGAATCATGATCCGCTTGTCGCTACTCAAAGCCTTCTCCATTCAACTCCTTCACAGATTATCGCTACATTTCTCTTCCTGGCAGCGGTTCTCGCGTCAGTCATTTGCCGTCAACGTCTTCGTCCTCTCCCTACGCTGTTGCTGCGCACCGCGGTATTTGAAGGCAACTAAACTAGCATCTTTAGTCAACATCCTGCCGTTTTCAGCGTCTTCACCAGCGTCTGACAAGGCTACAGCGAAGCCTCAAGAAAACGACGTACTTTAGTAGCAACTCCACCCTTCCTCACTACCACCACGACCCACGTAGCTTTTCTCTCTCCCACACACATACACGCACACGCCTCGTTCTGTGCCCCTGTTCGTTGTTGTTAGAGTAGCAGCACGGCCGATATTTGCGAAGCCCGTAGAGGGCCGAAGGAGCATTAAAGCACACGCGCACACTATGGCCTCTTCAGCACCCAGGTCCGCCACGCCGGTCTCCTCGGACGAGAAGTGGGATCACTCGTTGGAAAACCTGATCCGCAAGTCAACCATTGGTTTTGCTGTTGGTATTCTGCCTGGCCTGCTACTCGCCCGCTCGGCGGCGGCGCGTAGTGCCATCATCACACTCTGCACGGGTGTGGGCAGCGGCATCGCGTACGGAGAGGCGCGCTATCTGTTTGACTACGATATAATGTTTGACAAGCGTCATCTGATCCAGTTGCAGATCGGCAGTCAAGGGGAGCAGAAGGTTGAGTGAGCAGTGTCGTAGAGGTTAGCAGGTGAGTGGCGTGAACTGCGCTTCCGGTGCTACTTGGCAGTTTTAGTTGACGGATTCTGTAGTGTTGTTGTTCAATTGTTCGTCGTAGTTTAACTGACAGACGTGTCTCTGTGCCGTTGCGTTCATACGCTACTTAATCTATCTTCTTCTTTTTTTAATAATAGGAACGGAAAGGTCTTGCTTTTGCGTCTCGCGAGTTATCCGAAGCACCTGGGAACGTTCACCTCTCTTCTTCACAGGCTTCCCATTCACCTCAAGAACGGTGCGGCCTCAGGAAACCTTTGTCTTTAACTCTGCGCACCGGCCACGCAGAGGTAAAATCGCGGTAGGTTTGAATTTCACAGAGCAAGATCGGCTTCATAAAACTGAATGGGCCGATTTTTGTTTTTGAGAATGAATGCAGCGCTGTTCTCCGGCGGTGTTGCTGCATGGGCAACCATCTCCGTGAAATGTCATCTCACTGACCTTTCTGTGCCAATGGTCAACCTTCTTTGTCCCTCCACGATTCTTTGCTGTGGCACATCGGTGCCGCCTACATGTACCTCGCTTTGCTTCACACACGCCTTGTCTCTTTGTTCTTACTGCTTTCCCTTTTCTAGACGCTTGCTCAGTACATACGAATACCCAGCAGCTCTTGAAGCTAGCGCAATATGGCGGCGCCTTCTTCATTGCGTTCTCGCGCTTCAGAGGAGGTGAAGAGGTTCTTTCACTACCCGTGCCACAGCGTCATCACTCGGTCCGCCTTGGAGGGTTACATGGGCCGCGTTACCGTGCGTGGCAGCAGCGCCGACAGCAGCCTTGCTGCGCGCATCGACCTCGGCGTGTTTCGCGTGCTCGCCGGCTGCCCCAACGAGGAGCCCACCCAAGGCGCAGCACACAGTGCCGTCGTCGTGCCGGTGCAGCCAACGTGGGCCCCGCTGATTCGGCTGCTGCTGCCGTTGCACACGGCGTACAAGCGGGACCTGATGGAAGTCGCCCCCGGTGGCTTTCCTGTGCGTCGATTGCAGCAGCTCGTCGATGCGTGTCCTGCTGGGTACACCATCGTGCCGATCACGGAAGCCATCGCAGCGGACGTGGCAAAGGAAGAGTGGTCCGCTGATTTGACCGGCAACTTCGATGACGCGGCGACCTTCGTACGGGTAGCGCTTGGTTTTGTAGCCATTGAGGATTCTTCAGGCTTCGTGGCGGCCGGGGCATCGACGTTTGCGTTGTGCGACGCCGGCATTGAAGTGGAGGTGGACACGGCGGAGGCGCACCAACGACGTGGCCTGGCCCGTGTCTGTTCGGCTCACCTCATTTTGGCCTGCCTGGAGCGAGGCTGGCAGGCTGGGTGGGATGCGCATGTGCCGCACTCGGCCGTGCTGGCGGAGCGACTCGGCTACGTGGTCGGTACTCCTTATGTGGCGTACACCACCGATCCTCTTGCGCAATTGTGAGAAGAAACTTTTGTTTCCCCAGTGAACACCGCATGAGCTGCTTTACAGTGTTAGTGAATGTGCGAATGAATTTCAAAAATGGGTAGGCTATTACGTACGCCGTGTTGCTGAGAGCTGCGGTGTTTCGGCGGTGCAACTGCCTGCTGTTTGTGCTGTTTTGTGTCGCAGCGGACTCCATTGGAGGCGGCAACACCCCAACAAAGGGAAAAGAATCGTAGCGGGAAGAGCGATGCACACGTAACGTGATTCTTATTTTGCCTTCAGCTATCGTATTTTCTTCTTCCGCCGCCTCTTATTTCGTGTGCTTTTCTTTTTGCCTCATTGTCACTTGCAGGTTTGCTGAAGACGACACGCGACAGCACACACGCCTGCCGCCTTGCCACCTTTCTTCTCTCATTCCGTTCTTGCCACGACACGCGCGGACTCCTCGACCGATCCTCGGCAGAAAACATCGCACACACACACGCGAGAAAGCAAAATGGCGGTCCCTCATGGAATGCTGATCTCCCGCAACGACATCACACCAGACAGTCTGGTGGATCTGCCGGGTGATCGCAAAATCATCGAGCAGATTTCTAATACGATGGCGAACTCGTCCCTCTTCAAGATGGAGAAGGAAGACCACACACTAGCGAACTTGCTGCGCATGAAGCTGCACGAGTCTCCCTTTGTGCAGATCGCTGGTTACCGCGTGCCCCACCCAACGAAGCACAACGTAGAGCTACGCGTGCAGACGTCGTCCGACGGCACAGACGCGCCGATTCCGCCACCAAAGAAGGCGTTGCAAGACGCTATTGATGGCTGTTTAAAAGACCTGGAAAACTTTGAGGAGCAGCTGCGTCGTGAGGAGCAGTTAAAGCGATTTGAACCGACAGCACATTAACGGTGCGCGAGGCGTTCAATGTCAGAGTTTTTTTTTTCTTGTCTGTACTTTTCTTGATGTTGTTCCCGTTCACGGAAGTTGGAGAATTCGTTGCGGCGTCGCTGTCATGGGTCGTGTCTTCTAACAAACGCCAAGTAATAAACCACAGCGGATTAGATAGAAAAGGGCTTGTCGTCTCTATTCCCAAGCTATTCAATCTTGCTCGTTCTTTGAGTATGTGTGTGTGTGTGTTTGTTGTTGAAGAAGCTCACAGAGATGCAAAAGACCGTTTTGTGCTGAGTAGCCCCACTTCCCTTGCTCCTTACATTTTTCAGTTCTGTCGATGCCCATTCTATGCGTTGACGCTGCCACAGCAGGAAGGGGTCTTTGTGAGGGTGCTTTGATGTGCGTGCTGTTCCGTATGAAGTGCAGCCTTTACCACTTCTTTCCGTTCTTATCTTTGTCTTTCCAACGAAGCGCAGTGGCAACCACTGTATCGAGCCGCAATCCTCCTGCACCCTTCAAAGGAGGTTAACCGGAGAGGTGCTGATGGGTGACCTCCTATTCCCATCGCAATAACACATACACACAGAGAAGCAGAATCCACGAAGGGGTTGCGCACGCATTCGTGCTGCATCTATCATCATTATTGTTATTATTATTTATTTTCAACCTTCAACCTTCGCCGAAACTTCAAAAAGAAAGAAAAAGTATTAAACACAAAGACCAAGAAAAAAAAAGAAGACAAGTATATATCGTAGGTAGTTTTGAGGTCCGTTAGGCCTTGAGAGGGCAGCTGTATTTTTATCTTCTCCGGGTTTGGTGCTCTTCGCGCATATCGCCAACCACTCAAAAAAAAAAACCCCGGCAAATACACACACACACACACACATACAGCGCCATACTCAGCGGGGAAAACAAAACAAACAAAAAGAACTCACGCACGTCCGGGGAAAAAAGAATTCTCCGTAACCTTTGTGAAGCGAACACAGGGCAAATATCAGTTATCCCGTTTAAAAAAGAAAAAAGAATTCCTCAAAAATGGACTCGACACAGCACAACCAGGCGGCGGCGGAGGAGGCATCCGCGAAGACAGAAGTGACCCACGCCGACCCCGCCGCTGAGTCCACGCAGCCACCAGCAAACGAAACGGCAGCAGAAACAACAATACATACGCGAAAGCACGAGGAAGCAGGGCATCCTCCGCCCATCGAGACTGTAGCTCAGTACATTCTTGTAAACAAATCCCAGGAGCGTCGTCACACTCACGCGACCCACAGGCGACGCGATGGACACACGGAGCGTGCGACCGGCTTCATCGCGTACCCGCTAGGCATTGCATTGTTCACGGCGTGGTTGCTTACCGTATTTGCGGCATTTTCCTTCGACGTTGTGTTGGACGTCTTCCAGCGTTATCTGCTGCTGCGTGATCCGCCGGCGATACCGTGGATGCTGCTCGTCTGCAGCGATGCGGGCATTCACCTCTTCCTCACGCTTGTCGTGGTGCTTCTCGGACGCCTCACCAAGCGCCGCTTCCGCTTCTTTCAACCCTTCGTTGGCGGCGATGCTTTTGTTGTTCTCCAGTTTGTTGGGTACAACTGTGTGTACGTGACCGTGGTGGTGCGTGCGGTGCTCCTTAGCCAACGGCAGGAGCGCTACGGTGCCTACGCCGTTCTGGGTGCATTTGAGGTGGTGGGGCACTGTTTGCTGCTGTGGTCGCTCTCGTTCTTTCAGTCCCCGCCCCCGCCGAATGCATCGCAGCCGCCGGCTTCTCTCTCCGCCAGCATGGCGCGTGGATGGCGAGTGCGTCTGGCGAACTCGCTGCAGCGTGAAGTAGCGTGGATTGTGCTGTGCTGCGGCGTCGTCGTCGTTTCATCTGTCGTTGCCGAGTACCACTCTCTTTACCGCTTCATCAACGTACTGGTGGTGACCTGCTTTGTGCTGGCGTCTCTCCTGACGATTCAGCACGTCATTGTCCCGCAGTGGCTGGGCCGGCACTTCTACCACGTGCTCCTCCCCGTCGTCTTCCAGTCGCCGACCATGTACGTCTTGCAAGTCTTTGCCAACGGGCTGCTCTTTATGACCTTCTATGCGGAGTTGGTTCTTTTCAACGCGAAGGAGGATGCGCCGCCGTCGTGGCACCTCTGCTGCGGCTTGATGGCGGTGATGGCCATCGGCGCCCACCTCCTGCTCGTGCATCAGCTGCACACGTGGGTGGAAGAGGAAGAGGAAGCAGCGGAAGATGCAGCGGCGAAGAGGAGAGCCGATTCAGTCCTGTCCTCAGCGAGGGAGGCGAATGAACACGAGGAGGCCACCTCAGTTCCGTCACATCTGCCCTCTGCGGCAGCGGCGACGATACCGCCGCGTCGCGTGTCGAGAAACAAGGAGGGGTACAAGAACGAGATGGGCTCCTACGGTCCTGTCCTGCCGTCTCTCTTCAGCGTCGTGCTCTGCGCTATTCTCATCGGCATCCTCTACGTCTCCTTCACCTCCGGGGAGCGTATGAGCCCCTACGTCCGGCAGGGCCTCTTGCAGACCGAGGCGTTGCTCGTCACCCTTCTCTTTGTGCAGCCGTTAATTACCCATCTCATGGGCGTCTTCCTCTACGGCAAGGCCTACCGCATTTGGCAGCCGTTTGAGGGCAACCTCGACTTTATTCTCCTGCAGTGTGTGGGCTGGTTCTGCTACGGGCTTGCCATCTTCTTTGCCCCGCTGCACCTCAACGAGCGCGGCCACGACAACTTTTTGCTCCTCCTGATGGCGTTCCTCGTCCTTTCGCAGTTCCTCATTCACATCTCCGTCGTGCGATTCGGTCGAGGCAGCGCCGCACCCCCAACGGTGGATACGGCGCCCGTGGCCACCGCGGAGGCATCCGGCGGGCACGCCGAGGCAAACAGAACAGCGACGGAGGCGGCGCGGACTGACGAGGACGCCTTGTCAAGCAACCGCGCCGCGAGCCGATCGCCCGCCCGCAGCGACGCGACGAGCGAAGGAGCGTCGGGCCCGCAGCCGTCGCCCTTTTGGGGGCGCGGCGCCGACGACGCAGCCGAGAACGCGCTCTCTTCGACGGATGCAGCCGGCGAGGAAAAGGATGAGGCAGCAGGCGCTCCTCACGGGGCCGGTCTGCTGTCCTCCGTCGTGAATGGGGAGCTGCTGCTGTCGATGGTTCTCATGGGTGTCTCGCTCGTGATGCGCGTCGTCGTGATCGCCGCGGCCTACATCCAGCACGTTAACGCGGAAAGGGACGTCATCGGTGGTCAGGTCGGCACGGGGGCGCACGAGACGAAATCGGCTCTCACCTCTGCACGGCTTTCGACAGCGCAGATCCCGATGACCGCCGTCACCGTCGCAGCGACGCTCTTCAGCGTAACGGCCACGCCCGTCGTGCAGTGGTCGATGCGGCGCCGTGTGCAGCTCTTCAAACCTCTGAGCTACGCCTACGCGGTCCTCGCGACGTTGGGCTGGGGGGCTTTTCTGCTCCTGCTGTCGCGCTTTCTGGTGCTGTGGGGGCTGCTGGGGCTGGAGAGGGTGTCGGTGACGTCCCCCATTACACGAGTGGGGCTGTCCTGCTTCCTGCCTTCGTCGGAGTTCTCGTCGTGGCTGCGGCAGGCGTGCGACGCGGCTACGGTGGACGCGCAGGGGTCGTACGCCACCACCGGCGAAGGGCTAACGCTGACGGCGGCGTTTGAGGGCGCTGTCGAGGGCTTCGTGTGGTGCTTCCCATTTTTGTGTCTCCTCGCCGGCAATCTCTTCCAGACCCACGCCTTCCTGCGCGAGGCGGCCGCGCAGGAGCGGGTCCAAAGAGCTGTGGAATCCGTTCTGAAGCTGTTCGAAGTGCAGCGTGGTGCGGTGGGCTCGCCGTCCGACCCCGCCACGTTGACGAGCCCCTTGTCGCCGTCGACGCAGGGTCGCAATGCTCAACTTGGGCGACTGCTGCGCACCATCGCTGGCCCGCGTGTGGCTGCCGCCTCTGCCACGGCCGAGTTCGACAACGCCTCCATGACGTCTGAAAACGTCCACAACAGCAGCAGCGCGGACCTGGAGGACCTGAGGGCGGTGCACGACGCGGCGCGATACATGACCTTTACGCTCTGTGCCGCCACCAGCGCCGCATTCCTCAGTGCAGCGTTTCTCGCCGACGCGCAGCCCATCATGACGCTCGGCTTCGGCGCCGTAGGCACAGCGACGCTGGGGCTGTCGTGTGTCGCGCTGCACTACGTCTACGGCACACGCGTCCACAAGGGCACGCGGTCCTTGGACGCGTCGGCCGCATCGCCGCGGGTGCCGGTGTACACCTTTTTCATGCCCTTTGTGGGTGGTACGAAGTTTGTCGTGCTGCAGTCCGTGGGCTGGATCAGCTTCACCTGTGTCGCGAGTTTCATGATCGCCTGCGCGCTGGAGGGAAAAGGGACGGCGGTGATTTTTCTCGTGATGACCGTGCTCAGCATTGCGGCGCAGGCGACGCTGTGGCGCTCCGTGGGCTGCTTCGACGAGTCGAAGGTGCTCGAGCGGGGCTTTTTGCAGCGCAACGCGGAGGGCTTCCTGGCTGCGCTCTCCGTCGTGGCGACCGTGTCCTTCTGTCGGCTCTACGACATGGCCGAGCAAGGCCGGGCCACGGCGCACGTCGCCACCTCGATGGTGCCGGTGGTCGTGTGCAGCATCGCAGTTTGCTTTGCTGTGCCGCTGGGGCTGCTGTCGCTGCAGCGGCAGGCGGAGCTCTACGGCCTCGGCTCCTTCGCGGCGTGGCTCGCGAACGAGGACGACGACAACGATGCCGCCGTGGACGACGACGACAACAACAATGACGATCAGCCCGAGCTGGAGACAGGTGTGGAGGACACGAGCGAGAGGACCGCGGAGGGGGGCGGCGCGCTGCCACGTGCGGCCTCTTCTCGACTGCACAGCCGCGGCCCGAGTGCAGGGATGGGCGCGAGCAGCTCCACGGTTGGCTCACCTGCTTCTGGTGAGGACGGCGTCTCCTCGCCCGGCCTGCCGCACTCCATCTACTCCCGCTCCAACACGGAGACTTCGTTTTCACCGCTGCTGGGCACCCCGGGTGTGGTGCGGCGGCGAGTGTGGTCTACCCTCACGCGGCGCAGCGGCAGCGGCACGCGTCGACGCAGCCTTGCCGCGGTCGTCTTCTACCTCCTCTCCACCGTGCTGGCGATGCTGATTATTGTGGTGTTGCCGTTTGCGCTCGTGTTCATGGGATACGCCTATTACACGCAGCGGGCCACGGTGACGTACGGCCTCGCCGTGCGCGCGGTCGAGGCGCTGCTGTGCTGCTTCACGGCGCTGGTGGTGCTGCCGATCATCGTCGTGCCCGTACTCGGCCGCTCCTCGACGCTGCGCAACGTACACAGCGCGTTCTGCTGCTGGGCTCTCTACAACATCCCGACCTACACGTTCCTCGGTGGCATCTCGACTCCCTTCCTGTACAACTGCCGCGGCACGCACCTCTTTACCATCAACATGTGCTCCATGGCGCTGCTGTCGAACCTGCCGTACATGCCCATCGCCATGTCCATCTTCAGCGTGTGCTCGTTTGTCTACTTTCTGAAGTACCACTTCTACGACGGCCTGTACACCCACAAGCATGAGCTGGCGCCGGTGCAGTGCGTTGTCGACTTCGCCATCGCGATCTTCTGGCTGTGCTACCAACGGCGCTACCACGGCCGGCCAGAGATCACCGGCCGCCTGGAGAGCCGACGGGCCACGCGCTTCTTCCAGCAGTACTTCTTCCGTGGCTTCGTTTACTACTTCTCGATGCGGGTGATTGTCGGAGACGGCTACGTGCTACCGCAGGAGGAGCCTTACGTGTCTGACCGGAGCGAGGTGCCCCGCGTCGACCTGAGCAACCCGAAAAATCAGTACATGTTCTCCTTCCACCCGCACGGTGTGTTTCCCGGCACCTCCATGGTGGTCCCGAAGACCGAGATATGGGAGAAGGCGGTGGGTCGGTGCAAGGAGCACTTCGTGTCCACGCACTGCGCCGATATCGTCTTCAACGTGCCGCTGATGCGTGACTTTCCAATGTGCCTCGGCGCCATGAGTGTCAGCCGGCGCGGCATCGAGAGCAGTTTGAAGCACGGCAACAGTCCATTGATTGTGACGGGCGGCCAGTCGGAGATGCTGCTGACACGCATGTCGGACAACGAAATGCACGTGGTGTGCCATCACATTGGCTTCATTCGCATGGCCATCAAAAACGGCGTCCCGCTGGTGCCCGTCATCTCCTTTTCGGAGAGCAACATCCTCGACAACGTACACTGCATCCGCCTCCAGCGCTGGTTCTTGAATCGGATCGCTTTTCCATTTCCCACTCTGCCGATCGGCCGTTGGTACCTGCCGCTGCCGACCACGAAGCCGGTGACCATCGTTGTTGGCCAGCCCATCTCCCCCCTTCCCGGCCGCGACAACGCCGACGACCCGGCGCACGTGGAGGAGCTGCGTCTGCGCTACTTTGAGCACTTGGAGGTGCTCTTCTACAAGTACCGTGCGAAGGCTGGCTACCCGGCGATGGAGCTGTACCTGCACAACGGCATCTACAACCCGGGCGTCCGCAGCACCCCCTCCGTGACGACACCACTCTTGTCGGGTACAACGCAGCGGCAGGACAAGGCGGACTTGTCGGTGGAGATGTTCGATAGCGCGGTGCGGCGGGCCTTCTCCATGTCTCCCGATGAAAAGGCCGGTGCGCGAGCCATGACCACCACTCAGCCAACGGATGCTATGGACAAAGCCATGAAGACGGCAACCACACAGGAAGCACAGAAGGTGTAGCTTGCACGTGCATCGTGGCATTTCGGATGTCCTGGACCTCCTTTTCCTTCCTTTGTTTTTCTTCCTGTTTGCAGAGGATGTACATGAGGGCTTTTTTCCTATTCCAGATGCACAGCGGTGACCGAACTCGGGTGCATTTCGCACGTGTTTTTTATTTATTTATTCATTTGTTTGGTTGATCTCTTTTGTTTTGTTGTCGCCGTAGTAGCACCTGAGCAGTCGCGCAAGCCGTCTCTCGCGCAACGCGCGCTTTTCGTTCGACCTGTCAAGTTGGAGGGATTCCTCGCGTCTTTGTGTTTCCTCCCCTTTTTTTGTATTTTCTTTCCCCTTTGAAACTGCGAAGCTTCGCTTCGTTTTTGCGGTTGCAGCCCACGTCGCTGCATCGCTACTGGTGATGTCCCACCAGAGGTGGTCCTCGCGTCACGCGTTGACGAGAAACACACACGCAAAGAAAAACAAGGGAGCAACGAAGGCGCAAAAGGAGTCTTATTGGCCTGGCAAAACGATTTGAATACAGAAAGCCTGTCGCACGACCTGTGCCAAGGGGCAGAAAGTGCTCTTGAAAAGTGCTGTCTTACCTTTCTTTTTGGGTGTTGCTGCGGCAGACGCACGTGGAACTTGACGAGGTGTGTTTCCGCGTTTTTAGCTGTTGATGCGGTTTTTTGAGCGCGTCTGCCGAAGCGGGCCGGCCTGCAAGTCCGTTGAAAATCACTGCTACGTGTACACCCATCAAGTGTTCCTCCGAACTGTCACGTGACGTAAACGCGCACCCTTCGCTCACTCGCACCTCCTTCCGCTTTCTCTTAAACCTGTTTTTTCCCTCTTTTGTGAGTCTGCGAGGGGAATGGAAGGGACGGAAAAATGAGTTGAATGTGATTGGCAGCGGAGAGATTGGCGGATCTCGGTCATTTAGGGTAATGCTCTAAACTATCTTCTCCTTATCTATTACCTCCTGAATCCTGGTTCTTCCGTATTCTGGTTTGCCTGGCACAGTTGTTTTCAGCATCGAGAGAAACTCCGGTTTTTCGCTGAAATCCACCCGCCCACCCCCGGTCCCTCCCACGACAGGGACCCATGGGATCCTTAAAAAGATCCATGATTTTTGTTTTCCTTGCACTTCGTAAAGCGATACTCTCTGAGAAAAAGTCCGACGACAAACACGACAGATAAAGAAGAACGGAATTGGGGCAGATACTAGATAGTGAAGAAACAATGAGTAGCCTTGATGGGGACATTGATGCCAGGTACTCGCTAGTTATGTATTTCCCTAAATGCCGGAAGTCAAGAGTCGAAGTGATTGCACTATCCTTCTTATTCCCTTTTCTTTCACTACTCGTCTTCCTTTATCTCAGGAGGGGGGGAAAGAAAACAAACTGGGCTCTTTTTTTGTGCTTCCCGTTCTCTGGTGTTGGCGATTCCTTAACGGTTGATGTCAGCGTCACATACCTCGAGTAGCGTACAACGGACCGTACCAGAAACACGTTTCCTTGAGTAACACGGAGGAACAAATCGCTATTGTGCCTCCGTGTGTGTTGTTTCATACATTCTCGTTGTCTTCCCGACTCATATTATCAAGATTTTTTTCTTTCCTTCTTCTTCGCTCTTCGGCGCGCTGCTACGACACGTTTTATTATAATTATTTTTGCCACTACTATTATTGTTAAACAGTTGGAGAGAACCCCGCCCCGTAGTGTTTCGAGTCCCTCAAGCGGCAAAAGTGGAATTGATCGATTACAATTATTGCTAGCACCGGACCTTGCTTTTACCCCGGCATGCACACACTCACCCCCACAAAGAACAAAGCCACCCTCAGATAAGCTATTATATATATATACATACCCACTCTCACAACCTATAAAGGAGCTTCTCTCAAAACACTTACCTTGCCAAATTCTAATAAAGAAAAGGGAGTTTTCCGACGTCGTATTTTCTTTTTTGTTGTTGTTTGTCCTCATTTTAGTACTATATATCTCCTTTTTTTTTACTAACGAACGTCTGGCTCTTCTCTCAGCACACACGCTAACCTTGTCATCGTTTATACACTGCACAACGTGAAACAACTGTTTAGCGCCGTCAAACTGCGATATAGCGATACTGAAAGAGACCAGAAAAATCAAGGTTATTTGCGACATATTGTTGAAGCAGTGTAGGACGACTATTCCGTGGCATTTTATTCTTTTGTTTCGTTTTTTTTGCTGGACACCGAACGTGAAGCGACCAGTTTTCCTCCCAATACTGTGCGTTCCTCTGTGTCCTTTGAATAGGTCGGTGCTGATCAACGCATTGTGTTTGCGGCTTTCTTGCCGGAGTATTTCGTGAGCCCCACGCTGCCAAACGTTGTTTGTATCGTTGTGGGAGCTTTGGCGTTGCTCGATCAAGAAAAAAAACCTGCGTTCTTCTTCGCATAGCTCTGACGTTGCGACTAGCACACTTCACCCCAACAGTGTCAATAACGGCGAAGGAAGAGCAAACAAACAGGTAGTACTTGAGGGTCAGTAATACGATCATGTCTGACCAAGTAGAATCAAAGGCGGCGCAGGAGAAAGCACCCGCCGCGAGTGCTGCAGCCACGCGAGCGTCGCCACCACCGCCACCGCACGAAATCGGCGACGTGGACAATCGTGGTACGCCTCCGCTCGCCAACGCGTCGTCCTACAGCATCGGCAGCTCCTCGCACGATGGCTCGCCTCTTCTCGCGGCACAGGCACGCCTGGCCTCCGCCATCTTCCAGCGCGAAACAAGCACCTTCCGCAATGACGGGACCGAAAGCAAAAGCCTTTTCCGCTACGAATTACCGGAGTTCTCCACCGTCTCTCTCATCACGGTGTGGGGCGTCGACTGCGTCGCTGGACTTTTCTGCCTGCTGCTCTGCGACCTGTACGTGAATGAGACGGCGGAGTTTCCGCTGACCTTCTTCTTGGCTCTTGGCGCGCAGCTGAACCTCCTCGCCGGCGTCTTTGTGTACCTGCTCGGTCGCAGCATGTTCGGCGCCAGCGTCTATCGCTTCTACCAACCTTTCACCGGAGGGGTGCGCTTCGTGACTCTTCAGTTTTTCGGCGTGATGTCCGTGGCCTCCTCGCTGCTGTTCTGCGCAGGCTTTGGACTGCTCTACGATCCGAACGAGGTTCACACCCACGGCTTCCTCAGCACCGTGGCCACCTTGGCACTTTTTGGCAACATCCTCACGTTGGCTTCGCTGCGCAGCTTTACCCCATACAGCAAGCACGCAGAGACGCCTGTGCCCGCGGCCTCCAGGGGCTCGGCACACACCGCTGAGCCACGCAGTGGCGCTGCTGTGCTGGCAGAGGGCGGCCTAAACGCAGTGCTTCGTTTCCTCTGCCGCCGGCCCAATACGGAGAGCGCGCTGCAGGTGGCAATGCTGGTGGCCCAAAACTTGCTCAGCTGCGTTGCGATCAGCTTCCCGCAGCTGCAGTACACCATCTTTGTCTTCAACTTCGCCATCACCATCGCGTGCGGCGTTCTCAGCATCTTCTTCGTCAGCTACCGCAAAGGCAGGGGCTACACCGGTCTGCGCCTTTTCTTGCCCCGCACCTGGGACGCGGTGATTCTGTGGGTGACGCGGCTGTTCTACATACTCGCCCTCTTCGCCAACACGCTGCTCATCGACGCCAGCGATGAGACGGTGCAGTCGTCGTCTGTGCTGGCGGTGCAGGGTCTGAACGTGGTCAGCTGCATCGCTCTGCTTCTCTTCATGCGCACCCTCCACTACGAGACCTTCAGCGACGCGAGCGCGATGCCCAGCAGCGTCTTTGAACTTGGCGGGGTGGTGACGGTGGCGAGTTGCTTCGTCGTGGCGTGCGTGAACATCGGCATCTTCTTCTACGTCCAGAACTTCCCGGCGGGGCTGGAGGAGGTGATCGAGGGCACGTCGTGGACCTACCGCGGCGTGCTCATCTTTGTCTCGCAGGTGGCGCAGCTCGTCTCGCTGCTGCCGACGCCGCTGGTGTACATGGCCGGTGTGATCATCCACGGTGAGCGCTTCCAAACCCTGACACCGCAGCGCGAGGCCGCCACGTTCCCCGTGCTCATCATGCAAGGCCTCAGCTACCTTCTCTACATCGCCGCCGTGATTAACTTCGTACTTTACCTGACGAGTAAAGTGCCAACCTTCGCGGCGCTGGAGTCAACGTTTTCTGTGCTGAGCGTCATCTGCATGGCCAGCTCGGTGCGCATCTACACCTTCGTGATGCTGAACCTGAACTGCTTTGTTCCTTCGTCGCCAACAACGACCACGACGACGGCGACGCCGGCAGCGGGCAACGCGGCGGGGGGAGGAAAAGGGCGAATGAGTGAGGCGAAGGTCGCAGCGGAGAAAGCCCTCGAAGCCGCCGCCGGCGTCACGGATGCCACGCCGGAGTGGTCGGCGGCCGTCAAACTGGCCTCGGTTCTCCCGTCTCGGCCGACGGAAGCGCAGAGGGCGGCGGCGGGGACCGCGGACACTGCGAGGCAGCCCGAGTATGAGTTTCCCACCGTCTCTTACATCATGAACGACAAGCTTATCATCAGCTACCTGCTGTGTCTCACCAACATTATGTTGCGCCTCATTGTGGACGTCTCGCTACACCGCATCTGGGGCGATGTGGAGCTTCCGTACTACAGGCTCATCACGATTGGCAACCTCTGCTTCTTCGCGTGTGTGCCGCTGGCGCACTACTCCGCCACGGACAAAGGCATTCGTGTCTTCCACCCCTTCTCCGGCAGCGGCGGCTTTGTGGCTCTGCAGGTGCTGGGCTGGATGCTGTACGCCACCTTCGTCATCACGACAGTCTTTGGCACCGTTCTCGCGATGAACTCTGACAAGGTCCCCGAGGAGCTGGTCACGGTCATGAACCGGGGAAACGTCTTCTACACCCTGTTCGGTCTGCTGGAGCTGATCCCGTTGGGGCTCATCACCCTCTCGATCGTTATTGAGGCGCGGTACACGCTGGCCTCCGCCGTACAACAGCGCCTGGCAAAGGAGGCGTTCTTGGAGCTCCGTCGCATCCTGCGTAAGGAGGTGCAGGACAAACCTGAAGACGAGAAAGCGGTCACGCAGGTCGCCTTCCAGACGTTGATGACAGCAGCCCTGCGCAGCTTCTCGCTGCCCATCTCACACAGCATGCTGCGCCTGTACAAAGAGGACGCGGCGGAGCGTCAGGCCCGCAAGGCGTGGCCGCGGGTGCGCAGCGACGACGACGAGGACGAGGAAGAGGAGGAGAGTCGGGCAGGCAGCGCCAGCGACGTGGACGAGAGCTCGGACAGCTCCGACTGGGTCGAAGAAAAAGGAGAAGACGTGCTGACGCGGCAGCGTCGACAGGAGGGCGCGCGTGTCATCGTTATCCTGCTCTGCTGCGCCTCGGCGGCGTTTTTCGTCATTGCCGCCTTCACCGCGCAGGTGCTGGTGCTGTCGCTCGCGTTTGCCGTCATTGCCATGCTCGTGACGACGGCCTCCTGCCTCGGCGTGCACGCGGGCTACGGCGCCATTCTGTACGGCGACTCTGACACCTACTCGCCCTTCATGCCCTTCCGCGGCGGCACGCCTTTTGTGGTGCGGCAGATGGCCGGCTGGGGCTGCTACGCCAGCGCCTTCCTGGTCACGCTCATCAGCTGCATGGAGTCGGCCGAGGTGTCAGCCACTTCGATGGTCCTGGCGGCCTTCTTGTCCGTCTGCAGCCAGGTCTTCATCTTCACCTCCATCCCGCTCTTTTCGGACCGCCGCGGCGAGCCACCCTTCCTCGAGGTGAACGGCGAGGGCATCGTGGCGGTGCTGACGTTCGCGGCGGCCATCGCCTTTGGCCGCGTGTACACCTCCGTCATTGCCTTCTTCAAGGGCGACGCAGAGCAGCTGCAGTACCTCGAGAACGGCGGCACGTCGCGACGCACACGGGTGCCGTTTGTGCTGGTCGTCATCAGTCTGTCCTTTGCCGTGCCGTGCACGCTGATAGCGCTGAGTCGGACCAAGCGGCAGTGGCAGCAGGTGATTCGAAAAGCGCGGCTCGCCGCCAGCAGCAGGGGTGAAAGCACCGAGGCCGCGAAAGGCGGCAGATCCACCTCCAAGCAGAGTCGGCGCGCGTCGACGAAGGAGCCGGCGCCGCACATGATGCTGGCGACCGGCGTTGCGAACCTGCTCGAGGTGCTCGTTATTCTTTTCGGCACCGTCACCCCAGCGACGGTCATCGTCGGTGTGTACTACTTCTCCACTCACTACACCCCGTGGCTTGTGCGGATAGTGGAGAGCTGGACACCCATCTTCTTCGCCGTGACGACGATGACGTTGCTGCTGTCGGTGGTGCCGTACCTGGTCAACGTCGGCGTGCCCCCGTTCGTCATTACGGTGCGCGTCACCATCGTGACGTGGGTCCTGTACAGCGTGCCAGTTGTTGCAGCTTCCTTTTTGCTTCTGCCGTGCGTACTGGCGCCGCGCTACAGCACATGGTTCTTGTTTGGCGCTACATTTGTGCTGACCCTTGTGGGCAACTTCAACCACGTCCGCGTCATGATCAAGATGGCCGTGTACTTCTCCATCGGTTACCTCAGCTATAATAAGTTCGTCTTCTACCAAGCGTGCGGCAGTTCCGTCTCCTGGCTGCTGGTGATGCGCATGGCAGGGGTGCACCTCCTCGACTGCCTCCTCCTGGGCTTCTGGTTGCTGTACATCCCGACCTACTCTGGCAAACCGTTTCTCACCGGTGCGCAGCGCAGTGCCGCCTTCATTGGCTTTATGCGCAACTACGTATTCACGGATGCGCAGCGGTACTTCAACTTCAGCGTGCTGGTGGACGACCCGCAGGTGCAGATGCGCGATGGCAAGACGCAGTACCTGTTCTCCTTTCACCCGCACGGCGTCTTCCCTGGCACAGCCCTCTACGCCTCCATGACGAACGAGTGGGTGCGCAAGATCGGCATCAACGCTGAGCGCTACGTTTCCACGCACGTGGCGAGCATCATCTTCAACGTGCCGATTGTGCGTGACTTTAACCTCCGCCTCGGCGCCTTGTCGGTCAGCCGGCGTACGCTGGAGGCGAGTTTGCGGCGCGGCAACAGTGTGCTCATCGTGACCGGAGGACAGGCGGAGATGCTGCACACGACGATCAGCCGGACGAAGATGACCCTCATCACGCAGCACACTGGCTTTGTGCGCCTGGCAATCGCAATGCGGGTGCCGCTCGTGCCGCTCCTGTCGTTCGCGGAGAACAACATCCTCGGCCTCATGCAGTTCCCGCGCATCCAGCGCATCGCGCTGAAGATTGTCGGCTTTCCTTTTCCGATGGTGGTGTACGGCCGCTTTGGACTTCCGCTGCCGTTCCGCAGCCGATTGACGGTGGTGGTGGGCACGCCGGTGGCCATCCCGGAAGGCGCCGACGAGAACAACCCCGAGGACGTGAAGAAGCTGTCAGAGGCGTACTTCGCAGCTGTAAAGGAGCTGTTCTACCGCCGTCGGGCGGAGGCGGGCTACCCTGAAATGGAGTTGGAGCTTCGGAACGACAAGGAGGAAGCCGCAAAGCGAAAGGCAGCCGCGGCGGAAGCGAGGAAGGCGGCGGCGCAGTAATGAGAGAGCGCTCTTTCTCTCCATTTTTCCCTATTTGTGGTGATGCGGGCCCCTGGCAGGGTAAAACATCGGGAAGTCATCAACCAGCATCCCAATTGGCTGATGTCTGCATCCGTCCTCGGTCAGACTAACGCACGCAGAGTCTGTGTGTGTGCGTGTGTGTGTGTCGTCTCCCTCTCCGATTTGTATTCTCACTTCTATCTCTCGCTCTGCGTGTTTGGGCCCGGCACGGATCACCATCCGCGCCCCGCACGTTTTATGGCTCGCTTTTCATCAACTGTAAGCATCGCACAACTGCGTACTTTTTATTTATTTGCCTCTCCGTTTTTCATCGAAGGCTCTCAATAAAAACAGAATACAACGTGTGCGCTGCATGCGACCCGTAGATATATATCAAAATATGTTTCTTTCTTCGCCTCTCCGTCAATCGTTATCCTCGGTGTTTTTCACTGTTGGATTCGTGTGGGATGTTATGCATTATTATACGTACGTTCTTGTTTGTACATCTACGGATGAGAACCATGAGCTTCGCTGCAGAGTCGAAGATGATTCTTTCGGCGAATAATGGGAAAGCGAGTGTGTGTGTGTGTGTGTGTGTGTGTGACTGACAACCCATGACACGATGTACTGAAAGAAAAGCTTTTAGTTTTCACTTCCAAACTTTAATGGGCGGGGTTCTTCCGCTGTTGGTATTACTGATGCAACGTTGTCGCTGCACAATTGTGGCGTCGATCACCTTGTCTTCTCCTCCTTTTGCCTCCCTTTAGTTTTACTCCATCACGTCATCGCACCCAACGCATTCCTCCCTTTCACTCAGAAGCAAACCATACACACACATACACACAGACAAAAAATAATAGAGCTGACGCACGGGGATGTTACGGCGTACCTTGTGGTGCCTCGTGCGCCAGAAACACGGCCAGAAGGCGTGGTCGCCAAACAGCACTAGCGGCGGCGCAGCACCCACCAACGGCGTGACGGCACAGGAGGCGCTGCAAATCGCGTACCGACCCATGCCGCCTGCACAGACGGTGGAGTACGAAGAGGACTTTGGTCCCAGCATGATCATCCACCGAGAGTTTATCTCCGCCAAGTACCGCACCCGCATGGCGTCCGACATTTCTCAGCTCGCGTACAGTGACGTGGAGTTGTCGCGGTCGCGGCGGCAGCTCGCCGACGTCATGAACCGCGAGCGACGCGGCGTCCTCGTTGGTGCTGCGGGCGAGGAAGCCGACCGCGTTCTCTTCAACTCCGACGTGGACGACACCACGCGGGAGGTAAAGAGCGCGCGCTTTCTTTTCAACGAGCAACGCATGCAGTTCTGTGATCGCTTTCAAACCTTTTTTCGCGAGCGCATTGAGCGGCAGAAGAACCAGCTGGACGGCAGCACGGCGAGCGGGCAGGTGGACGCCGGGGATGACAATCACTTTTACTTTTCGCTGATGGAGGCGTGCGCGGTGCTGCACGGGTGCGAGGCGGCGGAGGCTCGTGAGGCGTACTACCGCCGCTTTCTCGGGCTCAATTTGGATGCACTGGAGGCCGAAGATGAAGCGCTGCGGTCCCGTCTTGTGGACGCGGCGGCGGTGGAGGCACAGCTAGCGCCGTCGACATCAAAGGGTAGCGAGAGGGAGCAGGATCGAGACGCTTTGTTGGCGGCGAGTTGCTCCGGCAAGAGGCCGCAAGACGGCCTCGGAGCTTCGCAGAGTGCGGCCGTGGACTCGAAGAGCTCAACAGAGGTGGTGCAGGATATCATCGGCGCGCTGCCCCCGCTTTTCCCCAGCTCCCTTGCGCCGTCTACCGCAGCAGAGACTACAACACGCAGCAGAGAGGAAAAGGAGGAGGAGAGTTTGCGTCCGTCTCCGACAGCGCCGGAAGTCGCACTGGCAGCGTCGGCATCGCTGCCTTCGTCGTCGGAGAGCGCAACTACTAACTCCACGGCACACCTCAGCGACGACATCGCGCCACTGTACAGAGCCTACCTCGCCCACGCTCGCGGTGAGAGTCCCGTCGGCTCCTACGACACCACCACCATCGGCGCCCACGCCGAGCACGCGGAGCGCCGTCGCTGGCGCTCGCTCATGGACAAAATCGCGGCCGAGGAGTACCACAACCTAACACCCACAGAGTTGGAGGACGCCTACATCTTGAACCAGCAGCTGCACACGGTGAAGTTTTTTGATTTGAAGGTGGGCGACACGGTTCGTGAGATTGTGCAGCTGCTGCAGCGCGGCTCAAGCTCCTCGGCGGATCGAGACACACCGCTGGAGACCTCGCCCACGCACCCGGAGCGGCGTATGTAAATTGTCGGACAGTGCGTGCTTGTGAGGTCGCACAAAAAGGGGAGTAAGTACCGGCCCACGTTATTATTGTTTCTTCACACATAACCTGCTACAGCTTCTTTTCTTTTCCTCTCTGAATAGGTGAAGCGCAGATCAACGCTTAAGCGACGAGCTATCTAAGTTGTGCACGAATAAAATTTGAAGTGAAGGAAAGGGTGATGCCTTCCTCGTTGTTGCGGATGCAAAGGCATCCGTTTTCGCCGTGCGAAAGAGAAGAAAAATAAACTGATTTCTTGTTTTCTCTATCTTTCGCTCATCATTTACAAACAGCTATCGCGACGCACAGAACAGTGACGAAAGCTCCCCGCAGCCACCTACCAACGATCGAGATCACTTCCGTTTCCCTCTTCTTTCCCTTCATTATACAAAGCAAACAAGAGAAAGAAATAAAAAATGACGAGTCAGAGCAACCCCCGCGACTACGAGCTGGAGCGCGTCAGCGACGCAGGCCAGCCCTTCTCCGAGGAGGTGATAGCGTCACCGGTGAAGCAAGGCTGTGGAACCATCAACGAGTTCACCTCAACTCCGGTATCCGAGGACGAGTTTGTGAGTCTCGGCGGCGACTACGTCCCCGGCAACCGCTTCTCCGCGCTGATGCACAGGTTTGTCCCGCACGGCGGCATCCTGTCGAACTCCTACAACCTCGCTGCGGTCACGCTCGGCTCGGGTGTGATTGCCCTGCCCTCGTCCTTTAAGGCCACCGGCATCGTCACGTCGATCCTCGTGCTTATCGTGATCACCCTCAGCACGGTTTACTCCGTCTACGTTATGATGCAGGCGGCGGACAAGACGGGGCGGCGCATGTACTCGTACGAGGCCCTCGCCCGCGGTCTGCTCGGTCGCGGCTGGGACTACCTCGCGGCGTTTCACATGTGGATGTTCTGCTTCGGCTCCTGCGTCTCGTACGTCATCTCGACTGGCGACCTGCTGAGCCGTGCGACGGACGACCCGTCGGTGGACAGCTTCATCCGCTCCACCTGGGGCAACCGTGTGCTGGTCATCGTGATCTGGTTCTGTGTGATGCTGCCCCTGTCGATCCCGAAGGAGATCAACTCCCTGCGCTACTTCTCCATCGTGGGTGTATCGTGCATGATGTACTTCGTCATTATCATCATTGTTCACGCCGCGATGAACGGCTTCGAGGACGGCAGGCCGATCCACGAGGTGCACATGTTCAACACCGGCAACAGCGCCCTGGTCGGTTTCTCGAACTTCCTCTTCGCGTTTTTGGCGCAGACGAACGTGTTTGAGGTGGCGCGCGAGACGCCGAACCCGACGCCGCGCCGCGTGACGATTGACATGGCGGTGAGTCAGACCATCTGCTGCGTGCTGTACGCCTTTGCGGGCGTCTTCGGCTACCTCGACTTCGGCGAGAAGGTAGAGGACTCCATCCTGCTGAACTACAACTTGCGCGGCGACGTGAAGGTCGCCATCGCCTACGTGGGCATCGCACTGAAGATGTGCGTGGGCTTTGCGCTGTGCATGCAGCCCTCACGTGATGCCGTGTACTACTGCCTCGGCTGGCACATCCCGATGTTCAAGGACATCCGCACCGTGCCGTTGTGGCTGAACGCGGTCATCTGCACTTTCATGTCGATCGTGGCGCTCGTCCTGGGCATCTTCATCCCTCGTGTGACCATCGTGTTTGGCCTTGTCGGCAGCTTCAGTGGCGGCTTCCTCGGGTTCATCTTCCCAGCGCTGTTTGTGATGTTCGCGGGCAACTGGGGCCTGAAGCAGGTGGGCTGGTTCCACTACATCTGCACGTATCTGCTTCTCATTGCCGGCGTGATCGCGTGCGTCTTTGGCACCGTCGCTGCCATCTATGGTGAAGTGAAATAAGGGGGTGGGGAGCAACGGAAAAGGTTTTGAGGGGGAAATACAATTTCTCTCTCACAACTCGTTCACACATTCCTCTGCGCTTTTTTTTTCGTCTTCTTCCGGCAGACAAACAAGCTGAGAAAATACGCACGACGTGGTACGGCTTTTCAGAAGAACCAGAAGCAAAGGTTTACCTGTTGCTGCGCTTTTTTCCCCCTTTTTTATTGACTGCTGTTGTCTGTTTTAGCTCGTGTTTCCGTTGCTCAATCGATCTATGGTGTATTGCTTTGGCCAACAGCTCTCCCTCCTTGCTCACGTATTGTTTGATCGACAGGACAGTAAGAAGAAGGAAAAAGCGAGAAGTGGGAGACGGGGACTTCCGCTGCACTTTCGCTGTTGCCTTTCCACTACCATTCACGATCCATATCAAATGCTTTCAACAACAACAAACAAACAAACAAACAAAAAGAAAATGTTTCTTTTCCATGTGAGTGCGATCGAGGGAAAATTTTGGGGACAAACCCGCCCTCGAGCCTCACAACTCTAAGCCCTCCGCGTTTCGACTTTGACAAATAACTTTCGTGTTATTTCCTTTGTTTACGTAGTACGTGTTTTGCTTTGTTTCCTCCTCGTTTGTTTGTTTGTCTGTTTGAGTGCACCCCGGTTCATTAAGTGAGAAAAAACGTGAAGAACGACTCTCCGCAAGGGAGACACATGGACCGGGGGGTTTGCGTGGCGAAAGGAAAAAAGGAGGTGTCAAAACATCGACTTTTTTTTCTTCTTTTTTTTCTTTCGGTTAGTTGTGTAAAAAAGATGTGCTAACGCTGCAGCTTCCGTAGCGCGTGTCGCAACCGTTCATGCGCTCGTATGTATTTCCGTATTCCACCCATCTGTGCGAGCCGCTCATGATGAACTTTTGCTACTATTATTATTATTATTTAGTTCTTAAAGAAATCTGTTATGTTGTACCGATGTTTAAGAACCAATATATATATGTACTAAAAACAAGAAAGGTGAAGTATTTAAAAAAATGAAGGAGAGAGAATCAGATACGTTTTATTTCTGTTTGTTGTTGTTGTTGTGTATTCCTTTGCTTGCAAACAGTACAAGCGAGGTAGACACCGATGCTGACTTCTCCTACCCACGTGCGCCTACAACTTCTTCTTTTGATACTGTGCTTTGTTTTTCCCTTGTGTGAGAGTTAAAAAACAACAAAAATACGATAACAACGTGACTGTAGGGCTGCTGGAAGAAAGCAAAGTAGATGCACGGAGAGGAGCGTACATCAGCGTGATGCACGAGTATCAAGAAGGAAATATGGGGACATACCCGCCTTTTTCATTACGGTTCACGTCTGTCGTGCCTTCCTCGATTGCATCTGCTTTCCTTCTTCAACTGTCCTCCAACAGCTTTCGTTTGAACGTGTTCCGCAGTGACAAATCGTATTAGCATTCATTTTTGATTTTCCATTTTTTGCTGTTTGTCACACTGATGCGGAGCTCGTGGAAAAAGATAATGGAACTTCGCACAAGTACTTCTTTTGTTTGTTTGACGTTCCTCTCGTGAGTTTGGCATTTGTCGTCGGCGACCACATCGAAGGGACGTTTTTTTCGTTTCTTCTTCTGACCTCTCTCTCCTTTCCAGTTGACTCCTTTGCTCACCTAAAAAAAAAAGAAAACACACATATATATAGACTTTCATTTCTTCTTTTCAAAAAAAAAGAACAGAAAAAGAACCGAACAACACTAATAAATATTTTCTCTTCTGAGTTTGAGAAGGTAAAGGGAAAAAAGGGCCGCTAATCCTGTTTTTTTTTCCGGGCGGCGAAACGAGAAAAAAAGCAATCGTTGAGTGCTGTGGTGTTACTTCTGTTGGAGCGGCGTCCTACATACCCACCATTTCATTATTATTATTCTTAAAACGATATGTTTGGTTTTTTCTTTTTTTCTCTCTCTTTCTCTGTAGCGTCGAATTGCCATAGCTCGTCGATTCTAAATACTTTTTTCCCTTTATTGATCTTCGATTCTGGCGAGATGCGTGGTCGGTCTCAGACTGTGACCCTTTTTTATTATCTATCTTGCTTCTTTTGGTTTCGCCTTGTTTGTTTGATTTCTCTCGTTTTCCTATGTTTGTTTTCGTTATTTTCAGATTGACGCCATCGTTGTATCTCTATCAAATCTGCATACGTTTGCCTTCTATGGTTCATCTTTCTGTCTATTCATTTATTTATATCGATATATATATATATGTTAAGGATCACTGAAGAGTGTGCCTGATAGTGCCTTCAAAGGATTTCTGGCCGCCACAGGTGTTCGCGGATGACGTGTGCGAGTCGATGCCAGGGCGCGGCGGCGACTTCATCTCTGCCGTCAGCATCGCCTTGACGCAGTCTCTTCTTTCTTTCTTTGGAAGGAGGAGGGGAGGGGGGAGGGGAAACAGCAAGGGATCTTAAAAAAAGAGAAGGGAAAACACCGAAAGGGTACACCCGTGCCTTGGTGTTCCTTTTTTTTCTTTTTCTCGCTGTCACCGTTGCCACACGTCTTACTTCAGATGATGAAAAGAAAACGAGAATTGAAACATCATTCGCGTATTTGCTCTCTCTCGTGCTGCGGCGCCCGTCGCATTTCTGCTGTGTGGAGGTGCACGGACTTGAAAGGGAAGACGGTCATAGCGCGTTTTCGAATAGGCTAGATGCCGTTGCTTCTTGCAGCTTCTTGCATTTTTTTTTCTATAAAGTGCTGAGAAGGCGGTGCTGGTGTCATTATCTTGGCACTTTGGCGTCGGCACAAGCAGACGCGCACCTCAAGAAACAAACGATGGTCAACGGCACATCGTGGTGCTGTATGACAGAGAAAGATCAACCTAACTTCCTTCTCTTTCTTTTCTCTTTCTCCTTTTCTTCTTCTATCTTTCGTTTTCCGCTCTCCGCATTGTTGACGGTCACAGAGTAACACAGCTTTCCTGTCCTTGCGTCGATAGACCCGTACGAAAGGGTACATAGCGGACTCCGTTGATTTCAACGCTATTTCTCCTCGCCCTCACAGCACATACGCCACCCACACATCCGTAGAGCAGAAAGGACAGGATGTTCCCTGGAATGCAAGGTCCTCAGGCGCTGCCGGATCAAGAGGCGTATCCGATGTTCTGGCGCAATCTGAACCGTTTTGTGGTCATCACAACCCTGACCGTGGCGGTGGCGGTTACAGTGCGGTACTGCGAGCAGCGCACCCACTCGATGCTGACTGCCAGCTTGTAAGAGAAAGTGGGCTAAGAATCTATTGCGCTGTGAAAAAAAGAAGGGGTTAAAAATGGGTGTTGCGCTGTTATTCTTCTTTTTTTTTTGAATAGTTGTGAAGCGTGTTGCGGTGGTACGAGAGAGTGGTTGTCGCTCACATTGCCCTGCGGGGGTGCGTTGGTACTGGTGTGCTCCTCACTATGTCGGCTATTCTGTTCGCCTCGCTGGAGGGGACTTTAGCAAATGTTAATTAATCCTTACCTAATTCAGCCACAGCAACGCACGAGCGGCCACGCAGCGCTGACCCCACAAAAGCGATAGCTCCTTTCCGCTTTCAACGAGCAGACGCAAAAGAAAGAAAAGCCAAATAGGGTGTGCGCCAGCAATAAGGAAGTTAATGGTGCTTTGTTATTATTTGGGAGCTGAAGCGGCGTTCATTGCCGCTGGTCACGGAGGTTTCCTTTAGGAATTGCGTCACATTGAATGGCCTATGGGGTATGTTTTTTTTTTTTGCTGACTTTGGCCTTGGGAGGGGGGGGGGAACGGCGTCTCGTGGCAACGCTACGCCATTTCGTGTTTTCGTCTCACACACACACACCACTCTGTCATCTTCTCTCTCTCCCCTCCCTTTACTTCCTTCTCCTCAAAAGGTGCTTACGAGAATTATAGCCCGTTGTGTACTCGACGCTCGGGGCTTAACGTCCTCCACTCTATCTCCTATCCATCATCCGTGTAACACTCCTTTCCCTTTCGCGTGGTTTTTAGCGTTCTGCGGAAGTAGAAGAATACGAATGTCCGCCATGCGGTGTAACACGCAGATGCAAGGATTTGAGGTGGTCGATGCGGTGTCGCACACACGCACCAACACCTCTGCGTCGTTGTACGCGCCGCTGCACTTTACGATCTCCTTTCAGGTGCACGAGCCCATCGTTGGGTCTGCCTTGTTCGTGGCGGTGGAATTTATCGCCGACGTCGCCTCGGAGCAGCCCGCTGTGTCTTTGCTGCCGCTGAGCTGCGTTGCGCCGGCGGGACTTGCCAACTCCTCTGCGAAGACCGCGACCTCGATGGCCGCCGTCACGCTTACCTCTTCATCTTCAGTGGGAGGTGACACGTCGACCGATGCGTTGCCGTTGCAGGGGCTGCTCGCGCCCGACGTGCTGTACGAGCTGACGTTCTGTGTGACGGATCTTAGCACGTTGCGGGTCATTCCGTTGAAGCATCTCCTGCAGGTGAGCATGATGCGCGTACGCCTCGTGACCGCTGCTGCTGCGACTGCGGCGACGGAGACGGAAGCAGAGCGGGACGAGAACAAAAGAGGAGAGAGTAGCGCGGTGGCCACGTGGTGCGTGGTGTGGCACGTGCGTCGCGATCCGCAGAATAATCAGGAGCTCGTGCGCACTGTGTTGAGTCCTTTATCCTAAGCACATGAACGCTGCCTCACGCACATGGGGTTGATGACGGTGTTCTTTTCGTGTCCAGAACAGCCGAACATTTCCTTTACAACTTTTACAGGTATGAACCTTAAACTTCGTTCACCAAATTGCTGCAGTCAAATGACCGATATGCATTTCTCACCTTCTGCCGATACCCCGCCATGTGCATGGACAATCCAGTCGCTCAAGCCTCTTCGACTACAAACTTCAACCTTTTTCTTTGCCACTACCAATTTTTTCTTTTCTGCTTCATTTTGCGTCTGAAATGTCGACCAACACCGCCTCTCACTGCGCCTTGCCGCCGACGTGACCAACACACATACACACACACACACACACCTCTCAAACGCAGCAGTTCTTTTGCAAGAGAACCTATCGTGCGCTCACCTGCGTTAGTTCAACCGACAATCAACAAGAAGAGCAACAACAAAAATGTTTCTCGGCGGCTTCGTTCCTCGTCGCTTTGCGCAGTTCAATCGCGACCCGTTCTGGATGTTCTTCATCTTCTCGGTTGGTGCGTGGATTGGCGAGTACCCGGCGATGCAGATCAAGTACAACGCTCGTGACCTCATCTTAGACCCTCACCGTTACGTGTGGTCGCACCTGGATGACCACCACTAATCGTGCAGGAGGGATGCGTGGGGGCTATGTGAATCACCGTTCTGCACTTTTTCTTTCCTTTCCACATACTACCCCCCCCCCCTTTCCCCATGGTGGTGGTGTGTTAGTTCAGACGATTAGCAGTAGTATAGTACTCCTCGGTAAACGTGAAAGTAAAGAAGGAAAATAATCGAAATGCCAGCAGAAAAAAAAACAAGCAAAGAGAGAGAGAGAGGGAGGGAGCGAGTTACAAAGCTCCGTTGGACCGCCGTGATGGGGGAAGGCAAAAGACAACGGAAAAGACAGGCGCATTTGCGTTGAGTTGACGGAGTTGCTTCCTGTCTTTCTCTTTCTCTCTCTCTCTCCCATAATATCCCTTTCCGATATCTGGGTGCTCTGCCACGCAGCTAACGGGCCGCGGCTTCAGAGTTTTCTACACCGCCGATTAATTGCGGTTGCATCTGTTGTGTCACGTTAATAATAATAATAAAGTAAGCGTCTGCTTCGCTTTCTCAAAGTGGCATTCTCTTTCCTCTTTCGTTCTTTTCTTGGTTGCCTCGTGCGCTTATCGACCACATAAACCACTTGACTTACACGGCTGCTTTTCTATTAGACCTCCCCGCTTTCTCTGCCTTCACAGCTCTCAAGCGCACACGCACACACACTCTCCCTTTCCAACCCAATCCCTCTTCCCCCAGTTCATCATGGCTGCTCCGTCTGCTGCGATCAAGAAGGCCTCCGCGAAGAAGGCCGGCTCCCGCAAGGTAGCGCACAAGGCGGCGGCGAAGAAGGCCGCGCCGAAGAAGGGCGGAGCGAAGAAGGCCGCCCACAAGAAGCCTGCGAAGAAGGCCGCGAAGAAGGCCGTGAAGAGGGCGGCGCCGAAGAAGGCCGGCCACAAGAAGCCGGCGAAGAAGGCGGCGAAGAAGTAATGCCAACCGAGTAGTAACGCCTATTTATGCGTACATATTCGCACGTTTGTTACGTGTTGAGTAGATGCCAGGGCGTCTTCTCCCCCCTTTTATAGATCTCTTTTTTTCTTGTTTGCCTCCCCTCTGATATATTTTTCCGTACTTTTCTCTTTCTCTGATCGGAGCGAATTGCATCCACGCAAACCCCGCGCCAACACACAATCTCGCTTTTGCACCTTTCGCGCGTACAAAGTTGTACCCCCCCCCCCTGCACGTGCTCCTCTCGTTCGCCGCTCATGGAGTTGGTGTTCGTTTGAATCTTCTCCCTTGGTTTGAAGCGCCCTCGTTGCCCTCTCACCTTTTTCCTTCTTTGCGTCTGAGAGACTAAAAAACTGGGTGACGCCTCGTCGCGGTTTCTTCGCATGTCGCTGTTTACACGTCTTCTATGCGTAACGCTCCTCCATTATACATGCATATGTATTTGCAGAGAGAAAGAAGTGGTGGACTGCCGGCTTCACCAGAGGTAAGACGACGAGGAAAAGGGAAAGGGAGAAACGGCGGAAAGGGCAAACGAGGGAATAGAATTGCGTCTTCACACGCGAAAGAGCAGACGTACGTGTGTTGTGTTTCGAAATCACACGCAAGGACCGGAGCAAGATGAATGAAAAAAGAAAAAAGAAACGCAGTGCCTCCTTCTGACTCTCTTGAGAGCTCCCCCCTTTTTTCCCTCTTTGGTCACACCGGGGCATGCGTGAATCGCGTTCATCTTCCGCTAGGCTTCGCGCGGGACCTGCGTTGAGAGACGATCGCGTGCAAACAATGGTGATGGCGGTGAACGCCAGTTCTCCTGTAGCGCAACACGCAAGGAAGCAGGTTGACGCTTGTTTTCTGCTGTGTGTTGAGGATGACCAGACTCTTTGTGCACTGCTGCGTTCTCTTCCCGCTGTGCTGCTGTCAACGCGCTCCTCTCTCTCCTCTTTTCCTCTCCTCTCATCAACGTTTTCTTTCTCTAAACCTCCATCTGCGTAACTGAAACGGGTGCTTTAGACTTTCTTGTCTTCATACCTCTCAAACACAAACACTCTCCCTTTCCAACCCAATCCCTCTTCCCCCAGTTCATCATGGCTGCTCCGTCTGCTGCGATCAAGAAGGCCTCCGCGAAGAAGGCCGGCTCCCGCAAGGTAGCGCACAAGGCGGCGGCGAAGAAGGCCGCGCCGAAGAAGGGCGGAGCGAAGAAGGCCGCCCACAAGAAGCCTGCGAAGAAGGCCGCGAAGAAGGCCGTGAAGAGGGCGGCGCCGAAGAAGGCCGGCCACAAGAAGCCGGCGAAGAAGGCGGCGAAGAAGTAATGAGACCGTATGATGAGCGGAGATACCATTGTGTGCAAGGCACGCTTTCAAACCTGTAAATCTCTTTTTTTTTTTACCCGACATTGCTTGTACCCCTCATAGATTTTTTTTCGTTTTACGACTCGCTTTTCTTTTTTTTTTGTCTCACAGCGCACGTTGTCGTCGCTTTGTCATTTCGCTCCAGCGTGCTGGTTCTTCTTTCGCGTTTTCGGTCAGCTTAACTTCGCCGGTTTGCCCTCGCCTCCGTCTCTCTCTCTCTCTCTGCCTCCCCTCTTTGGTCCGACTCGATCGGCTGTCACGATGGCTGCACACCTTTTCGTTCTTTGTTTTTTCAAGCATACATCTTGTACTTTTATCATGCAACTATGTATCCTGTTTTTTTTGTTTGTTTTCTGGTGTCACGTGGCATCAAGAGAAGGCGTCGAAGCGGCTCGACGAGCTGGAATCTCCAAAGAAAAGAAAAAAGATGGAAATAGAAACGGATAGGCGGGTCGCGCAGTCGGAGTGCAGTAACCGCACAATGGTGAACAACTTTTGTTGTTCTGAAACGAAATCAATTGAAAAGGTGACGACAACGGTAGCTGCAAGTATGTAGAAGGAAAGAAGAAAGAAGAAAAAAAGAATGCTTACCAGAGAGGAAAACGTATATTAAACGGATTAGGATTTACTTCTACACACCCGAACATGAGGCTCCGCAAGCAGCGAACAGACGCGCGCACATTGGTGTCAGTATGCCGCAGGTTGCACCTCGGAGACGTCATTCAAGTTTTTTTTCCTGTTTTCACGAAAGACGTGAAAGAGAATGTGTGTACGTTTGCGGGTGTGTATGTGTGCGCGCGTTTGTTTGTCTGATTGAAGTGGAGAACGCAATGAGTTCACGAACCGCCGTGGTGCGTCTCAAGCGCTACGTGCAGCCTAAATCTGCCGCCTTTGCGTGCGATTCACGGGTGTTTGTTGCCTTGTTGTTTCTTTTATTGTTTTTCCTTATGTTGAGTAGAAACCCCAGCAAAAGTGTAGAAGTCCTTTTTCTATGATTCCTCTGCGTACACCCTTGTGAAGGACGTTTGAAAAAGAAAAGAAGAAAAGATCGCCATGTGGGAGACGTGAGAACTTCGACCGCTGAAGAGCGACTACCCATGACGGGGATGATAAGCGGATGCAGAGCAACGGAAACAGCGAACGCCGCTATTGTTGTTTAAGTTGCTCTTTTAGAAGCTCGCTTTTTTTTTACGTGAAATAGAAAACAGTACACCTCGTTCTGTTGCACATCATGGAGATAAAAATGCTGCCCGTGTAGAGAACCGCCTCTCTTCGAAGCGTTTCACAAGTATATATATATCTCCTTCTCCCAACAAACGCCGCTGCATATTCTTCTTCTTTTTCTTTCACCATCGCCCAACACCGCTGACAACTTCAAATGCATACTCCACTGATCAAAACAACAAAAACAATGAATCTTTCTCTTCCTCCACGCTGCAAATAGTTCTTTGACTTGCCTGCGTCACGCCTTTCACGTTGCGTGTTCCGATTATTCTTCGCTCGCTTTTCTCTCCTGCGTCTGTGAAATACTTTGCACTTTTGTTTTCTTGTGTGAGAACGTCCTCAGCTGGAGTTTCTTTTTCAACCTTACGACTTTATCAACATATATACGGGGGAAACCCGCGCAACAGCAATTAAAAAAAGAAGACAAATTGCTGCTAACAAAGGAAGTTACCTACACCATTGGACCCCGCGCCACCTGTCCTATTCAGCCCTTTTGAAGAGAAGGGACAAAGGAAGGGAAACGTATCCTGTTTGTTTATTTATTTATTTCGTGTGTGTGTGTTTTGCGTTTAACAGCTTAGCTTACCGTGTTTTCGAGGATATATATATAATAGTTGGGGCTCTTCTCGTTTTTGTTTCTCTTGCATCAGTGCAGTCGTTTTCGGCTTTGATTCGAACCCCTGCAGCGTTTGTTTTTGTCTTCTTCTTCCTTTCTTTTGTTGGTAGATACAGCTGCCCATTCCACACACACGCATACAAAAATAAAGAAGGTTTTGGTAAGAAAGAACTCGTAACCACGCCGTCGCTACGCGCACAACGAAGATAACACGAGTGTCCCCGCCCCCCCCCCCCCCAAAAAAAAAAAACCGGGAAGAACAACCACAAAAATATATGTACTGCCGGTGTTGTGTTCGTTGCATCTCTCAGCAGACTTTCACGCGCCTTGTCGGGGGCATCTACGGTGTGTGTGTGTTCTCGCTCGTATCTCCTTTCGTTTTTTCCGTAGTTTTCGCTTCTAATATTTACTCTCTCTGTCTCTGTCTTGTACCTTTTTTCCCCACCTTTTGTTACCATCTTTTTCGTTTCTTTGAGCTGTGTGTTCGTTGCACAATCCGTCGAGCTACCCTCCGCGTCTGTCCCGCCCGTCCTCCCGCACCGTTTTTATTGGTAGTCATTCGTGGAAGTGTATATATTTTTTTGAATTTCTTTTTCTGATACCGAGCGCCGGTACGACGCCACCGCTGACTGACGGACTCCACTACACATTTCGCACTCATTCTTTCTCTTCTCTCTTATTTCTTTTTCTGTTTTGATTTTGGCTTTTCTCTCTCTCTCTTTCTGATAAACTTCAAATCGAAGAGTATTGTATTTTTTTCTTTAATTCCCGCTGAAGCGAGATGTCGAATCTGCACCAGCTACAACGTGCGTGGACGCTGTGGTACGACAGCCCATCCACCTACAGCACGGAGAATTGGGAGATGTCGCTGGTGCCCATCATGACGGTGCACACCGTTGAGGAGTTCTTTGTGATGCTCAAGTACATGAAGCCCTTGCACGCCCTCCGCACCTCCTCGCAGTATCACTTCTTCCAGGAAGGCGTCAAGCCCATGTGGGAGGACCCGGCCAACAAGAAGGGCGGCAAGCTGTGGGTAAACTTGGACATCAACGCCGGCAGCGTTCGCCCCAGCAGCAACACAAGCGGCGGCACCGCCGCGGCGGACGCGAACGGCGTGGAGGCGAAGACCGACTTGGACAAGTCCTGGGAGAACGTGCTGATGGCCGCCGTGGGCGAGTACCTCGATGGCGCCGACAACAACGCCACGGGCGAGCCGTTTGTGACCGGCATAGTCATGTCGAAGCGGAAGTACCACAATCGCCTGGCGGTGTGGATCAGCGACGCTTCTGCGAAGGACAAGATCGATGCCCTCAGGAAAGCCATCACGAAAGAGGCTAGTCTTCCCTACATTGCATCCCTTGTCTTCACCAAGCACGGCGAAGCCTCATAGCTACTTCAGTGCTTCGCGCTTCTCCTCTTTGCCTTTTTGTTTTTCTGAAGAGACACTTAGAAGTCGTTTTGATCGCTTTCTTTCTTTTCTTTTTTCTCTCCCTTCACTTCTCCCTCGGGGAAGTGATTTACACATTTTCCACTGTTGATTGCGCTCGGGTTCGACGGCTCCTCTGCGCGCTTGTTGAACGGTTTTCTTTTAAAAGGGACGACGCAAAGTACGTGTGTGTGTGTGTGTGTGTGTGCGCTTTACAGCGCTCTTTTTTGAGTTTATCCTCTTCTCCCTGTTCGAGTGTACGTCGTTGAGGGCAAAAAGACTCTTCTCCAGGTTGGGGGTTTATGTAGAAGCGATGCAAAAGCGAGGTAGGCAACAGAACCGAGAAGAGCAGCTGGCGAGGCTAAATTCGGAACCAGGAGACGTAAAGAGAGAGAAACCATGTGTGTGTGTGTGTGTGTGCTTCCCTTAAATAATCGCGGAGAAGGAACTGTCTTGTACTGTGCGTGTTAGTGTGTGTGTGTGTGTTTGGTTTTCGAAGTCGTCTGTGTAGTAGAGTGAGGTGAGGTGTTTGAGGAGGTGAGAGGTGCACGGGGGTTGTTTCCGTTAGGACATCGCCGTCGGCTACTACTCCACTTATATAATGCATGTTTCGGAGAAAAGGGAGTGGGCTTTGCGTGTACATCTATGAACTTACACGGCCACATCGCACGGAAGCGTGCTGTGTGCGCGCCGTGCAAATGTTCTTCCGCTTTCCTTCCTTGGAAAGAAGCGTCCAACAAACACACAGCCAACGTCTATTGGCAAGAAAGACAGGCAAATCTTGCTGCTGCATCACCCTCCTTTGAAGCTAAGAAAAATCGTTTTCCTAAAAAAATATATGTCGGGAGAAGACTGCATTGAATCGATTGCGACGTTCCGCAGAACTGGCTCTTTTACGGGCGGCCTCTTGTCAGTTCTTCTACTGCACGTTCTTTAGGCGCCGACTTGCGCGATTTGGAAAGCATTAATGCATTGATCGCGCTCCAGTAAAAAAAAAGTGCACATCACGATAACGACTGCAGAGGTGCAAAAGCCTTTCCTAGCGGCTCGTCTGCCTTCGTCGCTGCGTGCTGTCTTCTAATAGAGTTTGAGATTGTAGTGTATTGCTGCGTTTTCCAGCAAGCGTTCGTCCACAGTTCCGACAACATCTTTCACCCCTCTCTTTCCTCTCTTTCCCACTCCTTATGCCATAGAGCAACGGCCCCAAGAGTGCGCATCGAGGTTATTTTTACACGCAGGAAACAAAAGAAATAGACGAAAGCAAAGAAAAACTTGATTCACTAGTCATGTCAATGGCAGCACGCATCAGTAGTGGTGATGTCGGGCGTCCGCGTCAGCTGTCGTCCGAGGTGATCATGAGCGCCCGAAACGAAGCAGATGCGCCTGGCAAAGCCACTGCCTCGACGCCGCCGGCGGTGCCCGCGCCGCCGCTGATCACGAAAGAGCTCCTGCAGATCGCCGAGGACCTGCGGATTGTGGTGGCGAAGGGCACCTGGCAGAGCTACGGCAGCGAGGCGGAGATACGACGGCAGTCGGAGGACGATCCGTGTGGCGCACCGCCCATCCCGCACCGCCCCCCGATCACCGTGCAGTTCGAGGTAGCCCGCCAGGCGATCCTGCGCCACCGCACGACGGCGCACAACAACTACTTCACCAAGGAGGCGAGCGAGGACAGTCGCGATCTGCGCTCGTCGCACAACCCCCTTTACGAGCTGATGCGTGATGAGGTGGACTCGGCGGTACAGGCGGTGCCGCGGCGGTGCGTGGCGGGGACGCAGACGTACCACGTCCGCCGTGTGAACGCGGTGGCCCAGGCTGAGCCGACGATGGTGGACGCGTGCATCCGCCACGTCCCGCCCCCCGTGAAGGAGGAGCCGAAGCTGAGCGCTTTTCTGGACAAAGTCCTCCCCCGCACCCTCCACTGTCTCACCCAGAACTATCAGGTTCCCATCTACACGGACGACTTCAAGAGCCTCAGCGAGGACGATGCCGTGGTGGCCACGCGCGATGAGCTCGTCCTCATTGAGAAGGGCAACTTCATGCACAACTTCACGAAGGACCGCAAGGTGAGTGCGGTGAACTGGCGCAGCAGTCGCCGCCGCGACCACATGGTCTGCATCGCCTCCATCAGCCAGCAGTCCCTGCAAGAGCGCCTGCAGGCCAACCGGCGGTGCGACAGCAGCGTGTCGCTGATTTGGGACCTGACCGATCCGATGCACCCGCGCTACATCCTTGAGTCGCCGGTGGAGGTGCAGGTGCTGCAGTTCCACCCAACCCGTCCCAACCTCGTGGCGGGTGGCGCGATGAATGGGCAGGTTTATCTGTGGGACCTGAGCCTCGGAGAAGCGGCGACGCTGTTTACGACGAACCCCGCTGCGCAAAAGACGCAGCAGCAGCGGCAGCGGCAGGCGCGCAACACCAACACCCGCGACTCCCCCACCGATGTGGATCTTCCTGCGAATGCCGCGGCGGTCGGCGGGGTCGAAGATGACAACGAGGCCGCCGCAACGGAGTTTCGTGAAGTCGGTGCGGTGCCGCGGATGCCGGAGAGCTTGAAGGCGGTTACCCTCGAGCTGGACGGTGACGTTAACGTGCCACGCCTGCAGCCCATTCAGCTCTCTCGCATTGAGCTCTCCCACCAGTGCCCGGTGCACGACCTGCAGTGGATGCCTGGCAACCTCGAATTCGGCTTTGACGGCAAGCAGACGGTGGTGAGCGAGACGCATCAGTTCGCCACCATCGGCGAGGATGGTGCAATGCTGGTCTGGGACACCCGATGCGAGCACCTGCCGCAGGATAAGCTGCGCAAGATCAAACACCAGAGCCGTGTCGGTGGCGTGGAGCAGCCGTGGGTGCCGCTGCTGCGCTACTCGTTGGCCAAACCAGACGGCAGCGGCGACTTGGCCGGCTTTCGCTTCTTTCTCAGCGGCTGCACGGTCGACGAGGTGCCGTCCTACTCGGCGGCCGTGGGCAGCATGGACGGCCAGCTCGGGTTTTGCTCGATGGTGATGCAGCACGAGCGGCGGCCCTCCGTCGTGCTGCCCACATTCGGCTTCACGCGAGAGACGCGCTTTGTGCGCAACGTGGTGGCCGACGCGCACGGTGGTCCCGTTTACTGTGTGGAGCGCCACCCGACGATCGGTGATGTGTACTTGACCTGCGGTGACTCGTCGTTTAAGGTGTGGCGCACCGACGTGCCGATGCCGCTGTACGAGTCCCCGCAGCGACCAGCCGCCGTCTACTGCGCCTCCTGGTCCCCTGCCCGTCCTGGCCTCGTCTTTATTGGGATCGGCAACGGCATGGTGGAGCTGTGGGACTTGCTCGACCGCAACCCGGAGCCGATGCTGACCCACCACCTTGTCCAGGACGCCATCACTTCCATCTCCTTGCAGCCGCTGCCGCACCGCGTTAACAGCCGGTACTCGCAGCAGATCCTCATCGGCACCAACCTGGGCTCCTTCCACTGGTACGCCTTGCCCACGGCTCTCTCGCGGGTGACGAGCGGGGAGCGGCGATATGTGCGGGCCATGCTGGAGCGCGAGGCGCGGCGCGTGGCGTACTACAGCTGGCGCTGGTCGGAGCGGCAGTCGGAGATCGATCGCTTTGGCCTGCAGGAAGCCGCGGCGCGGCTGCGCGGCACGATTGCGACCACCGTACACGTCGGCAGCGGAGGCCCTGGAAGCACGGGCAGGGCGTCGAGGGACAACGGGGATCAGGATGAATTGTTGTTGGTGGCGGAGCGTCGACAGCCGAAGGAGGACCTAGACATGAAGGACTTTGAAAACCCCTATGCGCAGGACCCGCAGCGTGATGAGGAATTTCTTGCGTTGGTGGAGCTGCTTCACGTGGAGGAGATGGAGCGTCTCAGGGGCGACTCGGGGTCTTAAGGAAGGTGTGGATGGTGTTGTTGGTGTGTGGTGTGAGCATCTGCGCTGTTTATATATACATGTGTGTGTGTGTGTGTGTCGTTGTTGTTGTTGTTGTTGTTGCTGCCGATGTTGATGGCGTAGTACGTACTTCGCTGTCTCACAGATGTAAATTACACCGTATTTGTAGGCCCTTCTCCCTCGGTGGTGTGCTTGAAGGCGCCTTGGCGTTGGTCGTATCTCCAGAGGAGGGCAGAGATTCTCTCTCTCTTTCTTTTTCCTTTTCTTTGTCTTCTAACGAGGTTCGCTTCACATGTACACAAAATGAATCAATTGAAAAGGAATGAAACTCAACCGAAGATGGGGCCGTAAGAAAATCCTTTCCGTTCTGTTTGCGCCGTTTGCCCAGTTGGCGTCGTGAACCTCTCCGTGACGCCTCTGTGCAAATGCGGCTACGATCACGGAGGGCGCAAGACAGCGGAAAGAAAGGCTTTCTTCGCTTCAACTCACGCGGGGTTTTCGTAGGTGAGAGTGCAAGGCCTAAAAAACTGAAAGCTGTGCAAACACGTGTGGAAGACAGAAAGAGAGAGCGCTGTGCTCACGTTGTTGCTGCTGCGCCTATTTATTATTATTATTATTACTGTGGTTTCCCCCGCTGCTACTGTTGTTAAGCGCAGGCATTCTTCCTCCACGTGTCTTTGCAAATTTCTACGCCTTTTCCCTCTTCCTCTCGTCTGTACTGATTCTTGGATGACGCTACGACCAACGGGGATCTACTGCAATGGAATGCAATACGCAACTGAAGAAATGACATTTGCGTTAGCATCTGTCTGAACCTATTCACTTGCATAAGAGTAGCGCTACATATATTGTGTGCTTTTCTGGGGATCTACTTCCCATCCTTTCCCCAACTTATAAATAATATTAGCTGATATATTTGTCCTTTCCTCTGCGTGTGTGTGTGAGTGTGTGTGGACTCTTTTGCACTCCTTTTCGTTTACTTCTAAGATATTTATTTTTATTGGTATTACCATTGTTGGTGTATTCAACCTTCTGCCCTCTGCATCGCCGTTTTTGCGTGCTCTCTCTCTCTCTCTCTCTCTCGCATTTTATTTTGTCGTTGTTGTTGCACCTGACTCCATCGCTCAGCACACGTGTCTTTTCCCCTACACACACGTGGGCATTGCGGAGGCACATTCAATCCCCTTGGGCCTTGACAAGCCTTTTCCGTTTGATTTTTAAGAGAGTTTTACGCTTCAAGCGATACAACAAAGTATTCAACACGCTCATTCCCACAGACGCAGAGTTGTGTAAGGAGCTGGAATCATGGCCGCGTTAAACCACTCGCCTGACCGGTTCGTCTACATGCCGTTTCGCCGCGGCGAGAAGGACATCCCGGACTGGTCACTGCTCTCGCGCTACGTCGCCACGAACCACTCTAGCAGCAACACGACGACGGTGGACGACGCCATTAAGTCGATGGGTGCCTTCCACAACACGATCGTGAAGACCTGCACGCTGGACGATGCAAAGCGGACCCCGAATGAGAGCTTCATCAAGCACACCCTCCTCCGGTACTGCCGTCTTGTCGGCCAGGCTCAGGCGCACCTCCCGCTGCACAGTGGCATGGTCAGCAAAAACCTACACTTTCTCTGGCGGGACAGCTTCGACGAGTCGGCCAAGTACGACAGCACCAACTCGAATTCGGAGCTGGTCAGCTGCATCTACAACCTCGCGGCCTCTTATGCGTTCGTGGCGACGACGCAGGCGCACACCGGCACGACTGAGGACGTGAAGGAGGCTTACAAGAACTTCCAGGCTGCCGCGGGCTACTATGAGATGGTCACCTCCATGCTGGGCCGCCTCCCGTCCGATCAGCTCACGAAGGGTGACATGAAGAAGGACTCGCTGACGATGCTCACGCGATTGTGCCTTGCCGAGGCGCACCACTGCGGCTACCTGAAGGCAGAGGAAGCCTTGAAGGCGAAGCCGGATATGCTGTCCAAGATCGCCGCGGAGGCTGCGAGGCAGTACGACGAGGTGCTGTCCATGTTCAAAACTTCCGTCTGGCTGTCGAAGAAGGTGGCGAATGCGAAGGACGTGGAGACGCTCCTGACGTCAAACGTGATCATCTTCAAGGCGCGCGCCCACATGCACCTCGCCGTCCGCGACGAGGCTGGGGGTGAACTTGGTGAGGCGATTGGCCACTACCGCAAGGCGCAGGAGCACCTGGCGAAGCTGCCGCGCATGCCGAACCAGCCGCTGACCATCTGGGTCAACAGCATCGTCACCAGCGTGAACAGCGCCGAGGACAAGGCGGAGAAGTCGAACAACTCCGTCTACTTTGCGCGGGTTCCGAAGGAGGTTCCGGAGCCGGAGGGGCTGCCGCGGCCGCTCGGGACGGCGACGGAGCACGAGAGCTTCGTGCGTTTCACGTCGAAGCGCGGCGAGGACGCCTTCTTTGGCATCATCCCTTCGCACATCGCCAAGACGGCCAGCGAGTGGCGCGGGAAGCAGCGCAACTTGGTGAACGTCTGCACCTCCGCCGCGGCCCACACCCGCAAGAGCACCCAAACTAAACTGCAGCAACTCGGCGTGGTGGCGGCAATTCAGACGATGTCAGGCGAAATGAGAGGGCGGGGTCGCGTGCCGGAGCCGCTGCGGACGACGCTGCTGCAGCTGCGCGAGGACAACAAAACGGACACCGGCGCCACGGCGAGCGTGACGGACGTGCTGATGGGCAACGTGAACACGTGCAACGCGATGTACGAGGTCGCGGACAACAAGCTGAAGGAGGTGAAGGCGGAGCTGGAGAAGGACAAGAAGGTGGATGAGCGCTTCAAGGAGGCCTATGGGGAGAAGATGTGGCGGGCGGTGCACCCGGCAACGGACGAGACCCCCGACTACCGCAGCATCAACGCCGCGATCGCCGAGCACGAAAAAGGGCTACGTCAGTGGGTGATTGTGCCTTTCAACGCCGCGAAGAAGACGATGGAGACGAACATGCGCGACATCGCCCGTCTCGACTGGCCAATCGCAGACCTGGATGCGCTGATGCCGTTCGTGGAGACAAAGGAGGCGCGTCAGCAGTCCACGCAGGTCATGGCGCTCGTCAAGAAACTGCAGGAGCTGATGGAGACGAAGGAGCGACTCGAGAAGGAGCAGACGGCGGAGGAAAAGGTTCTGCAGGACAAGCTAGAGTCTGACGACGTCGTCTTCAGCATCTCGTCCGTGGAGCCGTCGCAGCGCGATGCGGTGTTGGCGAAGGGCGCACAGGACATCTCCGACGCGATCGAGCGCGTGAATGCGAAGGTGCGCGAGGAGAAGGCGCTGCTGCCCAACGCGGAGAAGATTATGGAGGAGCTCGGCACGCTTCAGAGCACCGATCCACTGGCCGAGGAGATACAGAAGGTGTCAAACAGCCTGGAGAACGCCTGCTCCGTGTACCAAGAGCTCAAGAAGGAATTTGCGTCTATTTTGCAGTACACCAACAAGGCCGTAGACGACATCGACGGCACCTTGGGCTCCGCGCGGTCCTACACCATGAGCCGTGAGCTGCAAGCGCAGGAGGTGCAGAGCCGGCTGGATGAGCAGATCGCCGCGAAGATGAGCGAAATGCAAGAGGCCGAGAATCAGATATCGGAGTCGCGGCGCAGGCAGGAGGAACTGCAGAGCCAAATTGCCTCACTGCAGCAACAGGTGCCACCGAACCGCTACCAGCAAGGGCAGCCGCCGCCACAGCAGGCGCCACCGCAGCCGCAGTTCTACCAAATGCCTTCCACCGTTCCAACGACCGCACCAGCCACCGCCTATCAGTATCCTCCGCCTCCTCTGCCGGTGCCGCAGCAAGATCTAGTTGCGCCGCCGTCGTATGATCAGCTGAGCGCTGTTGCTCCGCGACCGGATATGTCAGCGCAGCCGTATCAGCAACCGCCTCAGCAGGCACCAACGGCGCCAGGGTATGCGTACCAGTACCCACCTCCGCAGCCAAACAACTATGGGGGCTATCCTTCCTACCAGCCGCCCGGGGGGCTGTGATTCTTGAGCATTCTCCGAAGTCGCCACCGTGGGCAGCAATGTGAGTAGATTCTCTTGTGTGTGTTCCTCGGAACGAGGGTCCTCACAGGTAATGTACGAGCAGCTTTTAATGGTGAAGCGACGCCTTCGGTCAGCCTATCGTCTTCCCCACCTCTCTCTCTTTCCTTCATTGAGGGATGGGTGGGTGAAGAGGTGTGCACGTCGAATTTATGAAATCAACTCCCGTCGATGGAACTTTCAGCCACGCGTTGGTCGGCTACCGGTGTTTCTTCTTTTGTCTTTTTTGTGTGGTAAAGTTCTCTAAGCTCCATGAATTCGTTGCCTTTTCTTTCTTATCCCTCTTTCTCTCTTCTTGTTATATGTAGTTATGATGGTAGTGGTTACGCACCCCCCATCCACCCACGCACTCCGAAGGAAGAGACGTGTGTTTACCTGTCTAACCGAAGTATTTGTTTGTTTCGTTGTTTCGAGGTCCTGCGGCGTTTCTTATGTGCGGACGTGATGGTGTTTGTCTCTCCCTCTTTATTTATTCCTTTTAAAGCATTTGCGTTGAGTGTGCCCTGGTTGTCAACATATACGTGTCATTCTTGTTGAACGTCCTTGTTGATGTGTTGCTGAGTTGTTGTGCAGTGGTATCGGGACGTCTTGGGCTTTTTCTTTTTCTTTTGGTGTTGTGGCCTTTGGCCTCTGCGCCGAGGGCTCTACAGGTGTGCGAGTTTAGAGGGTTTTACCGTCAACAGCTCCCTTGGGCTCGCAAAAGATCTTTAAAGAAATAGAAATAGTAAAAGAAAGAACGGATCCACAACCATGTGCAACGTCATCTGATTTTCTGTCTTGCTGCAACCCTTCGTTGAACGTGACGTGTTTTTTTTTTCTGGTGGTGTCAGTAGTCACGGGTGCGGTTCCGGCTTTATGGAGTGCAGCCACGTCGTTCCGCACGTCTTTGACACGCTTCCCTGCAAGTTTTTTTGCGCTCTCCATTGAACAGACTCTTGCGAATGCCCCAAAACGCGTTGAAAATGGCCCCATTTCGGGGGCGATGCGGGACCGCCTTTTTGCGATGCCTCACGTGACACAAAACAGGATTGCCCTCTCGAAGGCGGCGCTGCTGTTCTCGAACTCCCTCGTCTTCTTTTTGTCCTTTGTGTTACTGCCCTCTCTTCCTCTCCGTCAACTTCACGTCGACCTCTCTTTCACATCAAACAAACTCCGAACACGTTCGCATTAACTGTTGGGGTTTTCGGATCTCCGTACGTGTTTTTATGCCTCTTCGCCTCGTCTCTCTCTGTGCAGGGACAGCCGAAAACGCTGTCGAGCGACGCCTTAGTATCAGAAAGAAGGCGTAGGCAGTTGTTGATGCCCTCCGACTCACCACCTTACCACGACGCGTGTTTTTCGCCAGCTCCGCCGATGCTACCGCCTGCACCAACTGCATCCTTTGTGCTGTGTTGTTGTGTGCAGTTCGTTTATACTGCTGCCGCTGCCGGCGATGACTCTGCTCCCTTCACGGCGCCCACCGCAGCCACCGTGGAGGTGGTCGGATCCTCTCCTTCACCTTCGTCGTTGCACGCTGAGTGTGGGCTGCGCATCCGTCCTCTTGGCTCATCTTCGCACGGCTTCAGTGCCAGTCGTGGAGCGTTGCACACTTCTATCGGTAAAAGTGACGTTGTAGCACAGCAGGATTGGACGCGGCAGGGGTCTAAGGAGGTCTCGCAAGAGAAATCTCACAAGAGTGTTGTAAAGGCGGTGCGCAGGGCGGCTCGTGACAGCACAGGTGAAAGCACGCTCTCTTTTGCGCCGTCTGCGGCCCCTCGTAGCAATCACCCTTTGCGTGAAGAAAGACGACTGCCCTACTGGCTTCCCTTTTCCATCTTCTACTCGCTTGACTGGAGCTTCAAGGGTGCAGCAGCCAAGTCCATGAAGTCAGCTCAGGCGATGGATAGCAGTGACTGCCAAACACGCTCCTCCCTTCCCGGGGGTGTCATGGAAGGTAAAACAAGCGTAGTGGTGCGACTTCGCTGCCGAAGCGGCATAGCAGGCGGTCACCCACCGAGGGAAGTGGAGTCCATCTTGTTGAGCGGGCTTCCGTGTACCGATGCGTTGACCCTTGCGGATGTTTTCGACGCAGCGAAACAGCCAGTACCGGTCAGCAACAACGGTGGCGTGCAGTCGGAACCGCGCCCGCACAATGGCATAGACGCTGGCACCTCTGCGGACCCCTTTGCCGGTCTTCGCGCCAATACAGACGAAGCAACGCATCAATGTTGCACCTCCACTCCTTTGCCACAGGCTGCCGGTGACCCACGCAACGCGCTGCGCCGCTACAGCAGCATCTTTCTCTCATCCTCGCGCGGCGTCGCACCGAACTCGCCGGTGCGAACTCCCCCCTCCATCAAGGGTTCCAGTCGCAGTGGTGTCCAGACGAAGCCGACCCGTTCTATTAGCTTCACCGATCTGGCAGATCAAGACGGGTCACCGTCAGGGCCAGGTCGGCAGCAGCAACAGCTGCAACACGCGAAGTCGCAAAACGAGGCCTCTTCGCTTCCAAACGGGGAGACCACGGCGTATAGAAAGTATGCGCGCATGCTTGGCATAGAGCCGCAACCACCGCGCCGCAGCCTCGCGGTGCCGCACACCCCTGTCACGGGACTGCCATCCTCCGTCTCCTTCGGCGACTCCTTCGGCTCGGGCCAGACTTCCGCCGTGTACACGCCACTGGGTGGTGCACTGCGCTTTCCGCGTCACGACAGCGCCGCCCTGTTCCACGCGTCATCGGAAGAGAACGAGCTGACGTTGCAAGACGGTACCTTGTCCGAGCCGGCAGGTGTGAGCCGTGCGCCACGCCAGGAGCGGAGGAACGGAGAGGCGGAAAGATACGACGATAGGGGTGCTCCGCGTGAGCACAACAAACTGCGCATCATCGTGCCAGAGGTGGAAACTACGAGCGACGCTCCGCAGTGGTTCCCGGCGGCGCCGGCGCTCTCGGAGGAGTCGGAGGTGTCTTTGTCGTCCGCGAGCTGCTCTGTGCACCGCTACGGCACTGCGACGGCCCCTGCAGTTGCACCGGTCGCAGCTGCAGCGAGCGCGTCGTCGCCGACAGTGGCTCGTCACGAGTCGCTGGGCCACGTGCCAGCGTTCGAATACGCTGGCTCGCTCCCGCCGCAGGAGCGGAGCGACACAAACTGTCACGACCTTTTTGAAAGGAAGAGAACTCCCATCAATCTTGACGGTGCGCCGCACGACATCGTTTTTCCGCCGTTGCCTCCGTCCGTGTCGTCGCCCTTCACTCCATCATCCTCGTCGTTACCGCCAGCCCCTTTTTCCGCTGCTGTCGCTGCTCCTGCCTCTGTTGCGGCGGTTGCGCAAGAGGAGAGCAACGCGGCGCTTGCCTTTTGCTACTTGACGTCGGCGCAGCGCCGACTCATCAATTTTCACGAACTTTTGCGGCCGACGATTCCACCACCGGATGCCGCTGGGGCTGGCGCCTCCGCCTCCACTGCTCTCAGCACACCAACACCCGCGGCACCCTTCCGTTCTGCAACGAGCTCTCCACGTCCTCCTGCGGCGCTTGACCAAGTGCTGCTGAAGTTGCGGCTCAACTCGCTGCCTACGACGGTAATCCCCACCGCTACCCCTCTTCCCCAGCCCACCACCACCGCTGCGGCTGCCCCAGAAGCGGAGCTACATGTGCAATCAGGGGGTGCTGAGCGTGCTTCTGCGGACCCTTTACGTGCTGCCCCTGACACAGCGCAGACGCCGCCGTCACACCCGCTGTCGAAGACCGCCTCGGAGGCCCTTGTGTCTCCTGCGAGCGCTTCTCTCGGGTCGTCCATTCCACCTGCAGCGGCATCGTCCTCTGTGTCGTTCACCAAAAACACGAAAGAACCTTCCGCCGTCGCTGTCCCTCGCGCCGCCGGCCACCTCGTGTCCTCTTACCGTCAAGCTCTACTGCAAAGGCGTGATCGACATCTACGCGGCGCGTCGGGTCCCTGCGCCACCAGCACCAGCGCTATGGTGACACCACCCACCCTTTCCCTGTCACCGCAATGGAGCATGAAGTGGTCTGGTGCGGACGAGCTCGATATACCGGCTGCTGCTGCTCCTCAGGGGGGAGACGCACCCACTGTCGTAGCTCAAAAAGACTCCTGTGAAGATACATCCACCCGTGCCGTGCGGGGGCGAGGCAGCGCGGTGCCGCAGCGTGCCCACGGCCCTTTTGCGCAGCCTTCGCAGCACCCACCCAGCACTTTCCTCGCCCGCGGCGGCCACCGCTCTCCTGCGTCATCGTCGTTGTCGCCGCAGCGCCGTCGACGCCTTCCCGCCTCCCCGCCACCACGATTCCCATCAGACGGAGGAGAAAGAGAACCCCAAACGGGTAGCGCCACGCCGTCCAGCGTCCAGACAAACAGCCACGGCATCGGGGCTGGAGGGAACAAATACAGCAACGAGTGGAGCTCGTCACCGGACTCGTCGATGGCGCTGTCGTCGCCGCCGTGGCGCAATGCCCGCACTCGGCCCAGCCAAAACATTCGCTCGCCGCAGTCGCCGCCGGAGATGCGGCCGCGATCGTCGCGGCCGTTCATCGGGACGCCAAAGCTCGCGCTGGATCACCCAGGGACTGCGGTGCTGGCGTCGCCACCCGTGTTGCTCGGTGCGTCGCTGGTGGATGAGGACGCGGAGCAATCTTCCACTTCAATGGCAACCTGAACAAAGCGGAGAACAACAACAAAAACCGTTGCAGTGCGGAGTTTAGTATCAAGCAGTGCTGTTTCTTGTCAACGACACGACAGTGCTGTTGTGCGTCCTGGTTCGTGTTTGCTTCGCTTCTGTGAACGTGTTCGACGCTATTCCTGCTTCATACGACTGTCGGCGATACACACCAGTAAACGCTCGTAGCAAATGCATAGCCAGGTATGGGTTCACCTCTTCTTCGTGTTGTCTTGCCCACACCTTCACTCGCGCATTTTGTTCTCCTTCTCCGCTCCTCTTTTTTACATATATCTAGTTCACGTAAAACGAGGTCCGTCGCCGTCTGCTAAAGACGGAAGAGTAGAGAGTTCATACAAATCGGTGGCCCAAGCAACAAAATGGCCACGGAATGTGTTCCCAGTCACAGCGAAGCACACCAGATAGATGTACTGGAAAGCCATCCGTACCACGCCCAGCGCCACAAGGTCGGCCATGATAATACCGTGTTCCAGAGCCTGTTTCCACGTGAGTTTAGCGTAGCCAAAGAGCATCTGGTGCGCTCTCCCGCAGCAGTCGCTCTCAATAATGAGATGACCCCGTTTCGCATGCCTTCTCTATCTGTCTCAGCGCGAATCGAAGCGTGGGAGACGACAGAGGCACTTCCAATACACCAGGAGACGTTACTTCGCGATTCAATCGCCCACTTCGACACGTCAGGAAATGAGCTGCTCCCCGACGGTGATCGTGAGGATGCTTCGCGAACTGCGGAGGCTCAAGGCGACGCGCGTGGTGCAGGCGTTGATTCAGCCGACGCACAGCCGCCTTTTCATATGCGTGTGAGGGAGGTAGAAAAGCGCTTTCGCGAGCAAATGGAAGTCCATCGCGAGTTGACACGTGCAACTCGGCAGTTGCAGCTCACCGAAAAGTCTGTGCGGGCGCTTCGAGCACAGCGTCGCACGCATGCATTGACGCACGCCATTCAGGAGCGTCAAGAGGCAGTTTTGAAGCGCGTGTGGCCCGAGGGTGACATACCGCCCTTGCCAACGGAGGAGACAGCGCAATGGGTTCCGCGCTCCTTTACAGGCGGTCCTAATCCAACTGCTGCCTCACTGCCTCCGCACCCCATGGGGAAGGCGCCGGCGTTGGTTTCCGTGGTGCCGCCGTCTCCGGCGTCTTCCGCCTCCGCGATGTCCCCAACGAGTGAATTGTTGAAGGACATTCTCAATACCTTTTCGAAGCCGCGTGAGCTGCGGGGTGACAGCTCCTCGGCGGGGCGCTCCGTTGCGAGTCCGCTCACACCAGCAGCGAGGCCCACGCACAGCAGGACGCGCAGAAGGACGCACAGCGAGGGACCGCACAGCAGCAGCGGCCGCGCAGGGGCGAGCACCGATGGCGTGGAGGAGTCCTTTCCACACGCGAACCGTGTGACGGCTTCCGGGTTGGAAATCGTTCGTCCGCCGCCACCGCCAAAGCCGTACCCCGTTCTTCGCTACGTGGAGGTCCCTCGAAAGGCCGCCTCCCCGATAACGCTCAACCCCTCTACCAGAGATGTTCGTGCTACAAGTCAGCTACGGAAAGCGGCATCAACGAAGCACACCAACGATGCGGCCGCCGTGCCCTCCACCTCCTCGAACGAGTACTCTCAAAACAGCTTCACTGCACGAGAGACTGCAGCTCGCGGTTTGTCTCGCACTGGTGACAGCGCTGTGGAGGACGGCATTGCCTCAACGCACACCACGTCTGTTGACAGCGCCGCGGACTCGTACAGTAGCGACCTCTTCGAAGTCGACGACGAAGACGGCACAACGACTCGCCGCCATGACCGAAAGGCGGTGGCCTCGGACATCTCAAGCTCCCCCCAATCGGTGCACTCCGCTTCGTCGTTTACCGATAGCGTTGTCGCGGGCACGAGCGAGACGTCGGTGGTGACATCGTTCGGCGTGAGTGTCGATACCGACGTCGAGGACGTGCGTCGTCGTGGCACGCAAGGGCTTCGTCGCCATCATAGACAGAGTTCCCTAGTGGCACCGTCCACGGTGCAGAAGAACGGCGCAACGGCGAGTGCAATCGTCGAACGCTTCTTGGCCGCTTGCGACGCTGCTGTTGCCGCCGCCGCGCCGCTTCTTCACACGCCTGGTGTGCGAGTGGGCAGACAAAAGCAGACAGCGCCGGCGCCGTCGCAGCCTTCTTCCTCTTCCTCTTCTTCGGGCAACTCATCGCAAACTTCGGCCTCTTCGACGCGGTCGAGGAAAGCAGAGAAACGCAGCGACAGCAGCGCCACGCTCGCTGAGGTGCGCACCTCGCAAGAAGTCTCTAACGGAGCCGTCTCTCCCTCGCAGGGGTGGCGTGAGGACCTGCAAACGCAGCTGCACCACGTCCGCCACCTCCGACGGTTCCGCGACCATCTCATTCGCCACTTAGAGATGATTGAGATGCGTGGCAAGGCGCAGCGTGAGAAGGCACGGCTGCTGCAAGAGACACAGACGCTGGCGAAGGCTCGACGAGCGGCTCTGCGTCAACCTCCGGGGAAGCACGACGTGGAGATGCAGAGATTGCTGCAGAAGGTGAAGGGAGCGCAGCCGTCAAAAGACACCGCAGCCCACAATCGTCAGCGTCGTCCACGGCCCACACGTTCTCAACTGCTGCATGGAGCTGGCGAGGACGACGAGGTATCGGAGGCAATTGCAACCGACCTGTCCGACGAGGCCAGCACCGCGAATTCCTCGGTCATTGAGGAAGACCTCACCGCGGAGCAGAGCGCGCTCGACGATGCCGTTACCGAAAGCATCGACGAAGTAGTCGATGACTGGGACAACTCTGCTGGGGGCAGCGTCATCGCAACGGAGAGCGTTCAGTCCATCGAGGAGGATATAGCAGACCTGTTGGAGCGCACTAGAAGAACCTCCGGCGGCATCTCCTCCATCACCGCGGTTACAGGCCCCAGTCATGCGGCTTCCGATGGACAGCTCGGGCTTCTTGCGAATGCGGGGGCAGGCCTGGACGAGATTGAGGAAGAACTCGCGGATCGCTTAGCGGAACTGTCCTCCACGGCTATTTCAACGAGCAGCAGCGTCCCCTCCGAGGTGGAGGAGCTCGTTGGCCTCCTGCCCTCTTCTTTGATACCCAGCGACGTGGACGAGGAGAGGAAGGGGCGAGCCGCAGAGGCCGAAAGCGAACCCTCCACGCTCTCCACGGAGTCTGCCGTCGCAACGGAGACGGATACCTCGCTGGGGGAATTGCACAGCCAGCGGCGAAACATCTACGTGGCGGTGAAGCGTGGAACGCGTGTCCAAGACCGACAAGACAACAAAGCGTACATGCAGGACTCGATGGCTTCGTCCATCTTTACCGCTTCCAGTGACGCGGACGTGGACACGACGGTGGAATCGAGCATGACGATCTCCGAGAGGGCAGACGACGCATCCCCACTTGCTGAGCGTCCTTCTTCGGCAATACGAAACGATGCCCCACCCGCGTCGCAGCGAGGGGACGCAGCGACTATTAGCACCACCACCACCTCCGACGGCGACGACGACGACGACGAAAGCCGCACAGATGAGTCGGACAGCACAGACGCACTTACGGCGCTGGAGGTGGACATGGCGCTGACGAAGCATCGCCGACAGGCAGCGCTGCGCTCCGCAACGTCTGTCCCGTCGTTTGATCAGCTCTACAACCCCTTCACGCCTGCTGGAAGACAAGTTACGGCTGCACAAATGAAGGAGGCGTCAGCATCTGAAAAAGAGCGGCTGTCAGGAGAGAGTGAAGCGGGAGGCGATGTGAGCAATGAAGGAAACGGAGAAGAACAAGGGTCGGGTATGCGCGCGCCGTCAGCAACGAGGTCCGATGAGGCGTCTGAAGCTGATAAAGATGTGACAGAGACATCGAAGGCGCTCTGTAGCGATCACGGTGCGGTGCATCGTGCCGCAGCAGAGACGCAAACAGAGACGGCGTCGAATACAAAAGCAGACGCAGGGACAGCAGCTACGGAGACCGCGCCGGCGGCGTATGCAGCGGAAGATCTGGTGGCCCAGAACGCATGGAAGGCTCGACAGCTCCACATGCTGCGTCAACTACGGAAGCTGTCCGTGGAGGACGCGCTGGATGACGAGGCGAAGGTGGAGAAGAACGAGGTGGAGACTCAACCCAGATCTCTGGCCTATTCGTCGTCGCCGCGAAAGACGTCAGCGGAGGTGGCGTTGGACGCTGCCGAGGACGCCGCGCGAGAGGAGTGGGCGCAGCATTGGGGGGTGTTGGAGTCCCTCCTACAAACACGCTTTGCCTCTCCCCGCTACGAGGAGCGAATGACTGCCACACGTCACGCAATGCAACGACAACGGCGACAAATTCCACGCACACTTAGCGGGAGTTCTGCAACGAGCTCCGCCAACGATGCATCCCGATCTGGCTGCAGCTCGTCGTCGTCTGCTTCTGCAATTCCATGAAAGCGGGAAGATCAAGACGTTGCACCTTCGCGCCTGTAGGGACCTATTATCTCTTCTGTTTACCATTCAAATGTGGCTCGTGATCATGTTGAGCTTCATTCTTCTTCGTAAGCAAACTGGAATAGGAAAAGAAGATAACGTATGAACACACATCAAAGGCAAAAGAGTGCTCGTTACTCTTTCGATGCGCAGCAGACCATTTCAAACTGACATCACGTTTTCGGGGAGCCTCTGTCTTGCCCATCTCGGCTTTTTGTTATCACTTTCCTGCACCGACTAGCCGCAATGAAAAGGAGACACCCTTCCGTACAAGCGCTCTGTTTCCATGGCTGATCAGTCTTCTCTTTCATCTTCCGCCTTTTCCTCTGGGTCTTTTCCCTTTTCTCTTAACCTCCCAGCAGTGCACATCAGCCGGGAAACAAAGAAGAAAAACTGATTCGGCTGAGGTGTCTTTGTTCTGCTGTTTTTCTGCCTATCATTTTCTGGTTTCCCCTATCGTAGTTCGAGCAATGTCTGTGCTTCTGCGCGACCAGGCGTCGTCAGCGGCAGAGCGGGAGCTGCACAGCGACAGCTTCCTCGATGACGATTGTGGCCGCAATGCGCTGCAGCTGGCGGCGAGAGGAAGCGCCATCATCGCCACGTTGCAGCGTCTCGCCGCGCACATACCCACCGAATTCATCTCGCCCGACGACTCGCCGTACGCGAAGGTCATCTTCGACTTCCGTTACTTTACAAACCAGGACAGCATCGAGAAGGCCGTCGCGGAGGCGGCCGAGCTGCTCGCACTGGACAAGGAGTTCTACGACACCCACATGCCACTCCTCGAGAATTTCATGGCTCTTTTTCGCAGCATCTACGGCTACGTCACGGAACTAAACCGATTCGTGCGGGAGATTCAAGATGGGCAGTACGTGGCACAGACACTCGACACCGTGCTCGACTCCCTGGAGGGCCGTCAGTTGCTCTGCGAGGTGTACCAGCTGTACGGGGTGTTGCTGCTGCTGATGGACCACAAAATCGGTGGGGTCGTGCGGGAGCGGCTGATCGTCAGCTACGTGCGTTACCGCGGCTCCGGTGAAACCCACACGGTGGAAGTGGCGGAGCTGTGCCGGTCCACCGACGATGAAGCGCGCCGGGGCAACAGGTTTGTCGGAAGCCGCCCCGCTTCCGGAACGTCTTCGGCCTCTTCGCCGACGGACAGAAACTATAGCTCACTTGGCGACTCCACCTATCCGCTGCGTTTCTTTGAGCGTGTTCCCATTCAGAAGGGCGTCGTCGGTCGACTACTGGCGTGCCTCCGCTCCGATGATATTTACCGCATGGCGAGCCACTACCCGAACCCCGAGCACCACAGCGCGGCGATGGCCCTCCAGGGCGGCCTTGTGTACGTGCTGCTCTTCTTCTGCGGCGACGTTCTTTCTCAGCAGGCGCCGGTGATGAAGGAGCTCGTCGAGAGGCACTTTGCCGATAGTTGGGTGGTGCACTACTACGCGGGGTACACCGCCGACCTCGCGGTGACCTGGGCGGCGTTCCCAGCCGCGCGAGAGGCGCTGCGGCGCACCTTGGAGCCGCACAACATCACCTACCACCTGCAGATGATGCGCAGTATGCTCTCACGCAGCACGGAGCGGGTGGAGGCGGTGCTGCAGGAAGGCGTGCTGACGGAGAGCTACGTCCTCGACAACGTACACGCCTCGTTGCTGCCCATCATCACGGAGGCGAATGTGGTGCTGCGCTGGTTTGTCCTCCACGGCGCGTGTGCAGAGGCAGTAGTTCTTGTTGACGGACCTTCCTACCCCTCCAGCCCAGCGTCCTCGCCATCTCGAGCAGAGCCGACGAGCGCCGCCGCCGCCGCGGCAGGTTTGGTGGGTGCTGCAGCCGCGGCGGAGCGGTCGATCATCGCGGCGTTTGACAGAGAGGAGTTGCTCACGCTGCTGCTCTCGACGGCGCAGCTAGAGTACCACGTGCAGTCTCGCTTTGCGGTTTTATTAGAGGAGAAGTCGACGCGGTGGTCTCACGCCAAGCGGCAGGCCGTGGCGAAGCTGAAGAAGCTCGCGCACTTCTTCTCGCCCGACAACCTTCTCGACAAGACGTTGCAGGACGAGGAGCTGCAGCGGTGGTTTCGCGAGGTCGCGGCACGCGTGTCAAGCCTGCACGTGAAGCAGCACGACGCGAACGCGACGCGGCGCAAGCTGCAGCGGTTTATCGCGGCGCTGGAAAACATTCAAGAGTTTGACCAGGTAAATCAGCAACTCCAGGTGCTGCAGCACGTGCGTGAGACCTGCGGTGATCTGCATCAGATGCTGCGCTACATGAACGCGGAGCGGCGCGTGTTGGGACGGCTGGCCACGGTGGCAGACCTCAGCTACGCGTGGGAGCGCTTTTCAGCGGGCGGTTACCTGGTGCGGGAGCTGCAAGCGCGGATTCAATCGCAGCCGGTAGTGGCGGCGCGGATGCGAGCCCTCTTTGTGAAGGTATCCCTATTGCTGCACTTGCCGTGCATTCGTATTGACCAGGGTATCGTCCTCGGGTGCACGAGTGCTGACATGCGACTCGAGCGTGCTCTTGCGCTCACCTCGAGCTTTTATTCCGAGGAGGTGGTATCCTTCCTGCGCAACGTTCTGCAGGTGATCCCGACTTCCATCTTTGAGGTGCTGCATAAGGTCATGTACCTGCTCACCCACACTCTGCAGGAGTGCCCGAGCAAGCTGCAGCGCGAGGAGTGGAAGAAGTGGAGCCAGCTGGAGACGCGTGAGCAGCTATCGGCGTACACGGCAGACATCGCACGCTACGCTGCCGGGCTTCTGGCGATGGAGGAGACCACGGTCGGCGTGGTGCGTGTCAACCCGCATCAGCTCTTAGAGGACGGCATTCGCAAAGAGCTGGTTGAGCACATTACGCGGGAGTTGCACGCCGGCATCTGGTTCGACAAGGCGAAGCCGTCCACGGTGGAGCAGCTGGACAAGGAGCTCACCTACCTCAGCTCTCGCCTGCGCGGAGTGCGCAACTCTTTTGAATACATTCAAGACTTTGTCAACGTGCACGGGCTGCAGATTTGGCTCGAAGAGTTTCAGCGCATTGTTCGCTTTACGCTGCAGATGGAGTGCAACGTGTTTTGCCCAAAGAAGGTGTACCCGTGGAGTTCGCCGTATCAGAGCACAAGCATTTCCATTCCGTACTTCGCCCCCGCGCATCCGAAGAGCCCGTACAGCTTTCTAGGTCACCTGGTTCAGCACCTGCTTCAGCTGACGGATCCCGCGGAGGCCATCTACTTCCCTGCTTACGGTGCGTGGTTCACGCGCAAGCGCTTGTGCGAGAGCGTCGGGCCGCGGCTCTTCACGCGCATCGCGGAGGCCATCGACTGCGTGGGCCTCACCTGCCTGGACGAGTTCCTCTCTCTTTTAATGGTGAAATACATTCAGCAGACCGTGCTGCGCCTGGCGGAGTCGGTGGTGCAGGGTGGGGCCGTGTGTCGCGCGTTGTTGCAAGAAACGTGGACGCGGTGCATGCCCCCGGCATCCACGCCGAATGCGGAGGCGTTTGCACAGGGCTACGATCAGCTCGCCACCCACTTCACCAGCTGTGCGGCCACCAAAGAGGTGAGTGTTGGCTTGATGCGCATCGGTCGTCTTGGGCTGATGCGCCAGCTCATCGCCCACCAGTTGCGGTCTGACAGCAGGCAGGACAGCTCATCGCTGGTCGCGTGCCTGCAAGCCGTCGACACCTCCCTACTGACCACCCTCGCAGCCCACCTCAGTGGAGCATTTGGCAGCGGCTTCGCGACGAGCACCACGCAGCCGTGCACAGACCTGCCCGAAGGACTTCTGTGCAACACGGCGCCGCTCCTGGAGGCAGTTGGACAGGCTGACCCGCTGGCTTCTATCTACGAAGTGGCGGATAACGGTGCAGGCGTGGCGCACTCCATGCCTAGCGCCGCCACAACTTCTGCAAAAGCAGCCGATGGTGCCGCAACCCCTGTTCCAGCCACGATGGCGCTGCCTCTCTTTGTGCTGCCGCTGTGCGTCACGGTGCTGCTCAACGTGGAGCACACCGCCTACAGCGCCCAGTTCGACAGCTGCATTCCGGCCGAGAAGAAAGACGACGTGGACGCGACGGTGCTGGCGGTCGGTGCGGCCAGTCTTCTGCAGCAATTCCCAGTAGAAGCCACGCAGCTGGTGGTGCAGCTCATGGCTCAAGCAACGCGCGTGGCTGCCGTTTTGAACGGGAGTGCGAAACCAAACGCGAGGGAGCCCATTCCGCTGATCTCACGCGCCGCCAAGTCGCTCCCGATGTGGATGGACGTGCTGCGCGGCTACCTTCATCGGTACAACGAGAAGGAATGGACGCACACCGTTGCACCGTGCTACTTCGATCAGTACATGCCGGCGGCACGGTCGGCGACGACTCAAGGGGCGCGCGCACCGCTTTGAGAGCTGAATCCTTTTAACGTTTCGATGGCGCTCAGGCTGCGCCGCAAAGAGGGGAGAGTTGGCGGTTACTCTTTATAGTATGTTTGGCTGTTGTGCTTCGCTTCTGCTTAAAGGGAACATCGGACCAAAGAAGCGGAGAAGCATCAGGGAAACGCCGACCAATGTGTTTGCATGGGAAAAGGAACGTACATATACATATATACGTGTGTGTGTGTGTGTGTATTAGCCGCAACATAGACGATAGTTAACGGATGCCTCGCTTTCATTTCACCAGAGCTCAGCGATGCGTTGCTGCTGCCTATGTGTTCTTCGTTGATGTGTTGTTGTTTGTTCAGCGCCATGTTATCTCCATTTTTCTGTCACCACCATGCCACCGTTCATCACCGTCATCTCCTTTAGCTTTGCCCCTTCATTTCTTTTTTCTCAATGCACCAAGACGCAAGTACCTGAAAAGGAAGAAACGGCAAGAACACGCTGGAACACGTCTTTGCTGTTTCATCGTCTACTTTTCTCAAACAATCCTCTACGCTGCATTTGTGTGTAAAGGGAGGCGCGGCATTATGGACGCCACTGGCTTGTCGTCCGCAACACCAAGCAGCCGCGCCTTTGAGTCGGCTGCGGCGACGCTCACAAGAGACGACGTCGAGCGCTTCGGGCGACAAATGCTCGTGGAGGAAATGGGAGCCGCACACGTGGAAGAGATCCGACGCGGTCGGGTGGTGTGTATCGGGGCCGGCGGCCTGGGTAGCACCGTTCTCCTTTACCTCGCCGGCGCGGGTGTGGGGCACCTCACCATCGTCGACTTTGACGAGGTGGAGCTGTCCAACCTGCACCGACAGGTGATCCACCAAATGGCCAGCATTGGCCAGCCCAAAGCGGAAAGTGCGAAGGCGGCGTGTCTGCGTCTCTTCCCCGCTGCCAACGTCGAGGCGCTCACCACCGCCCTCACGCCGGCCAACGCAGAACGCATCTTCCGCGACTGCGACGTGGTGGTGGACGGGACGGACAATGTGGCTGCGCGCTACTTGATCAACGACGCTGCGATGCGTTGTCGCAAGCCGCTCGTGAGCGGGAGTGCCATTGGCTGGGATGGGCAGTTGTCTGTCTACGGCTATCGGGACGGCCCGTGCTACCGCTGCCTTTTTCCGCTGCCACCCCCGAAGGAGGCGGTCGGCAGCTGCAATGACAGCGGGGTGATGGGCCCACTGCCGGGCATGATCGGGTGCTTGCAGGCGCTAGAAACGCTGAAGGTGCTCACCGGTGTCGGTGAGGCGCTGAATGGCCGCTTGTTTGTCTTCAACGGGCTGCGCTTCACTTCGCGGGTGGTGCAGCTGCGTGGGAAGCAGCCGCAGTGCACCGCGTGCAGCCCGTCAGCGCTGGCAGAGACGACGCTGCTGACGGAGCTCGCCGCGTCGCGTCGGCCCGAATACGTCGGCGCCGGCTGCGCAGCGGTGCCGGGGCCGCTCTCTCCATCCACCTCGTGCACGGTGGAAGACTTCGCAGCGCAAAGGCGCGCCGCCGCCTCAGCAACCCTCACGCTGGATGTGCGAGCGGGTGTGCAGTACGACATGGCGCACCTGCCGCATTCTATATGTGTGCCGTATGAAAGGCTGCTGCAGTGGGAGCGGGCCGGAACGTTGCTCGCGCAACTGGACGAGTTGCTGCACGATGCCGTGAAGACGACGGGCACGACGGACAACACGGAAGCGTCCCGCACGGCTCCTGTGCCCGTTTTCGTGGTGTGCCGGCGCGGAATCAATTCGGTCAAGGCGGTGAAGCTCATTGAGCGCGCGCTGGATAGCGTGGATGAGCATCAGGATACGCAACATGTTGCAAGCCTGATGCACACGTTTGTCTTCAAGAACGTTGAGGGTGGACTGAACGCTTATCACCGCAAGGTAGACCGCGAGTTTCCCTTCTATTAAGATTGACATTCATATTACCCTGCTTAATGAAAATAATAATAATATTTGAAAAGTATTTTCAAAAATGCAGCGCTACTACCGGAACCTTCTCTAGTGCTGCACTGTCTCCCCATTATTGGGAATCGCTCCTTGGTGGTTCCCGCCGCTGTCCTTTACAAACGGTGACAGCCACTTTTCGCGCACCCCCCACAAAAAAATGGCACCCGTGCACGCCAGCTGGGCTTTCTTCCTCTTCACAAGCGGTTTTGTTTTTCCCCCTTTGTTGCGTCTCCCTTTGAGTCGTTGCATCTTCCGCTCACCAGTTGAATTCAACCAGTCCACTGCGGTTGGTCACACTCTCAACAGCAGGGATGTAGCTCTACATCCCTATAGACCACAAAGTTCTTTTTGTTTATCTTAATTCCTGTGAATCGCTTACTTCTCTGTGTGTATGTATCTGTATGTGTGCGTGTCAAGTAGCTGCCCGTGCCTCTTGGTTAGTGTGTGCATATACGTAATGAAACGAAGGTTGCGAAGCCATTGCACCAGTGGTCGATTGTTGTGTAGACGGTGCTCGTTAACGCGACCGCTGCTGCTGGTGTTGTTCACGGTGCTGACAACGCTGTGGTGCGCTGCGGTGGCAAGCCGCGCCGCGCTGACGCGCTTCGATGCCGTGTCGTGGTCACCGACACAAATTGTGGCCTCTTTAACGTCCTCCACGCCGTCTGAAACCACCCGCGAGCCGCTGCCGGTCTACGGCGGTGTCGTCAACACCTCATTGCAGGGGATCTACTGCGTAGACGTGGAGAACCAAGTCGTTTACACCGGCGCTGATGTGCTGCACGTGTTTGAAATCAAAAGCCTGTCAGGTTCGATGGTGATCACCGAGTCTGCTGGCGCCACGGTGACGGAGAGTTACGACGGTGGCGACACCACGACGTACACGCCAGCCTATTACTTTGAGCAGGTGAATGAGATTTACCTCACTGGTTGGGCCACGGCGTGCATTTTTGCGAACCGGTACGAGCTGTTTATTTCAACCACCACCGTCGCACCGGACGAAACGAGCAGACGTGGAGCGGCGCCGCCCGGCTCGACGACAGCGCGAAAGACGAGTACGATGAATCACGGTCACTACTACACAGTCATCCATCGCTACCTGCGCAAGGCGTTGCGTACATTTGCGAGCGATGCGCCGCCTTTGGAGCCAGCTTCCGCCTCGACGGCAAAAAATCTTCTTTCTGGGGCGTCGCTCGTGTTACGGACTGGTGCCGTGGACGGCTTCTCGACCCGTGTTGTCACGCCGTTTTGGGACGGCACCATCTGCTTCGAAGAGGTCCAGACTCCTTTCTCCGCTGCCCAGTACTGGACACTAGGCCCGTCCTCGTTCCCACAGAGTTTGGTGCAGCCGGCGGAAGGGCAGCAGAGTGGGAACTCGACGCTGTACGCGCTCGCCTTCACAAAACCATCCCTGGCCGCGTCTTCCTCCACGTCGCCGTGGCCCGCTGTGTATGCGTGGGATATTGTGGGCATCACTCTCCCTGAGGTGCATCGCGACGTGGCGGACGTGCCCATCGCGCCAGCGTCTGTCAGCGAGCGCTTTGCGAGGTGCTACGCTTCTCTTATCGCAGCGCAGTGCGTGGACTGCCTTCCCGTTGCCTTCGCAGCGTCGAAACGAGGTATTTTTTTAGCGCTGACCTCGCGCGAACGCAATGCGACGTACGTGACGCTGCTCGCGTCCGGCACCGACTGCACAACGGAGCAGCAGCAGCAGCAACAGGCAACGACACCGACCTCCGCAGGCGAATCAAGGGGAGATAATCAACAGGAGGTGGTGCTACTGCAGATCCTTACCGGCGTGTGTAATGTGGCGGCGATGGTGGTGGATGACTACGCCCTGTCGCATCTGTATGTCGCTGTGGAGTGCGGTCAACACCGAAATTCTGAGAAGGGGCAGGCGCAGAGGTATCTTGTGCGGGTGAATATGTCGACCGTGGACGGTGACTCCAGTGCGACCACACAAGTGGTGCCGGTGCAGCAGCCGAGTCCGCTTCCAACAACCTTCACCGATGACGGCACGGAGGAGATTATGTCGCTCAGCCTGTCCAACGAAACGCGCTTCTTGTACTTGGTTGTGCGACGGGCCGATGCAACGGTGCGGGTGTACACGTACGCCGCGTTTGGCCTCTCCACGTTGCTCCCACGCGCCGTGGACGTCGCGGGCGGGTTGTCGGTCCGTGCGCTCGGGTTCGGCCTCACTCCCGGGATGCAATGTGTTTTTAACGGCAGCGCCGATGCCGTCATCGTGGCCAACTTCAGCAACTCCACCGCACTCGTCTGCGCGGCACCGTCGCTATCCGCAGCGCTGTGCACGCTGCACCCCGTCTCGTTGCGACTGCCGTACACGCAGCCCTGGGCAGTCCCCTCTGCCCTGCCGCTGCACGCCGTCGTATCGCCCGCTGCGGCGCCGCTCGCGTACGTGGCGACGCCGGTGGTGGAAAAGGCCATAAATGAGAAGACAGGGCGGAACTCTGCCACGGCGAACACTAACGTCGCCGTCATCGTGACGGGCCACAACTTCGTCAACGGGTCGGTGTACGGACTCGACAGCACGTGTTATTTTTGGTCGCTTATCAACCAAGGAAGGCCAAACATCACGGCACCGGCGACGTACATCAACGCCACGGCCTTGCGCTGCGAATTTCACGATATGAAGATGATTGGCTGTCGCACCTTCGTGTCAGTGTCCATCGACGGCACTGTTGTGTCCCCGACGTCGGCGGCGTTCAGCGTACAGGGGGTCGCCACGCAAGTGCGTGTGCAGGTAGGAGTGCAGAACAATTCCGGTCAAACCAGCGATATCTCACACGCGTCGGCGCAGGAACCGGCGACCCACACCACCATATGTCTTCAATCCTCTGCACAAGTCGCGCTACCGGACATCGAAGCTGTGCTTGCCGACGCAGTCCGCAACGCTGTTGACTTGCCAGATTTGTTGTCGCCGCTATACGCCGTGCTTTCCTTCAACGACACCTGGCTGATGAATGGGGGCGGTGTCGTGCCGCTTAACAACACGGTGAAAGCCGATTCAACAGCGGCCTCCGTCGCGTCGGTGGAAGGAGACATTGTGCAACCCTTCGCCGCCGACGGCAGGGCCTCGTTTGTCGGGATCACACTGAAGTGCCCTCCTATCGGAAAATTCACCTATTACGTCTACGTCAGCAACGGAACGGACAAGCTTCTGGACTATCACCGGGGCTCTGTGCGGATTGAGGTGCGGGAGGGCGCGCCGTACGCGCCGGTGTTTGTGGGTCAGCCCTCGACCTGGTACTACCCCGACGCGTCGTTGCTGCTGCAGCAGCCCGTCGTGGGCGTGCGGGACGCATGTGGAAACGTGTATTCCTTCCTGAATGACTCGGTGCTCGTCGGGTCGTTGACCGTGCAGCTGTACAAAGAGGTCGTGCTGCAAAGGTCGAAGGGCAATGCGGAGGTGGTGCGCAGAGAGCCGTATGGCGCCGCGTGGGAGGTGTCAACGCCGCTGAACAACCTCTTCTACCTCAGCAACATCTCCTTCCCCGCCATCGACTTCTCTACGCAGTTTTACCTCAACGTGACATGCGACCTGCCGCAGCCGACGATTCGATCGCCCCCCATCATCGTGATGCCGTGTGAGGCGGATCGTGTGAGTAGGATTGTAACAACGGCCGAATTCGGGAGCGAAGGCCAGCTGCTGCTGCCGCTGCACTCTCGCATCGTGTGCGATGCGTGTCCCGCGCACGGCATATGCGACGGCACGTCTAACGTGAGGGCCAAGGACGGCTACTGGCGCCACAACGCCTCCACGACGCAGTTCACGAGCTGCCGATTCGCGTTCGGCATGGCAGAGGCATGCGTGAACGACGGGCAGTGCGCCGCCGGTTACCACGGTGTGCTGTGTGGCGAGTGTGATCTGGGGTACCACACGCTGGGCAGGGCGTGTCGCAAATGCCTCCCCCGCGGCCTCCAGGGCTTTCTCGTCTTCCTCGTTGTATTCGGCATGGTGTTGATCATGACGACCTTTGTGGTGCTCATGGCGTTGGTTCCGCCCTCCACGCTGTCGGGGCTGTCCATTCGTAGCCTGTTGCTGGCGGTGCAGGTAACGTCCCTCTTTATACTCATCGCCGTGCCGTGGCCCCATCAGCTCGAAACTCTTTTTAACGGGCTGTACGCGCTCGCGGAGGTGTTAGAGACGATGGTGCGGTGCTTCACCTCGCCGCAGAGCTATTTCATCTTCATCGCGTGCTCCCCACTGGTGCTGGTCTCGCTGGTCATGGTCCTCGCCGGTGTGTGTCTGCGTGTGATGCGACTGCACCGCGTGGACGCGTACCGGCTCAGTGCGGTGGTGCTGACAGCGCTGCTGCATCGCAAGCAGGAGCGGTTCCACCAGCTACGCCACACCATCGCTCAGGAGATAGCGGAGCAAGGCCGCGCGGCGATGCGTCGTCGCCGCAGCACGATGAACAACAACGCATTTGCGGAGCGGGCGGCGGCGACGGCGGGCGAGTCGTACTCCGCCACCGCCTCTGCGACGCGGCCGTCCCTGTCGACGGAGTGGGAACTGCTGGAACGCAATGCCGCTGCGTCGATCAGCAGGAGGGTCACACACGCGGCGAGCACCGCTCTAATGGACAGCTTTACCGCGACAGTACCGACCATAGCATTAGCGGCGACAGCGCCGAGGGTGGAGCGGTGCATGGAAAGCG